TACCAAAATCACAATCACCATAGCAGTGACAGAACGTTCGATGTTGACGCCTCACAACCGAGTAAGTACGAGGTGTTAAAGAGTGCGCATGTTTTTTTCTAAATAAAACAATAGGTTTACAATATCGATAAATACTATGTGTGTGTCTATTTCCGGGATTTTATCGAGTATTTGCATCTTGGAAATTTTCATTCGAGCCCCTCAAGCTAACGCTTTCGGGTCTCGAGATGAATTTCCAAGATGCAAATACTCGATAAAATCCCGGAAATAGACACACACATAGTATTTATCTTCTGAATATTATACAGAGAATTTCCCTCAGAATCCAAGTTTTATATACATATAGAGTTCAATATTGGGCTTAATGGGAGGTACAGCTATCATATTACCAATAAGGGAATAAGCTCGGCTGTGATAATTTTCCTCTATTTGCAAATTTGCGTTTCCGCGATACTACATTGTGATTGCAGAGTTTAATCGATATGACGTCACATTAATTTATTGTTTACAAAATGTGGCATGAAGCCTTAAAAAATGATCGATAACATTACGTCATCTGAACAATATAACTTCAGTGAAGTTCCCTTATGGTACACTTTCTTCATTGTCCTTCTTAAAATGTTAATGATTAATTTTATTTCAATAATCTTCTCGAAATTCGGAATTACGGATTATAAGTCCCTCACAAATGAATGCTGCGTTAATCCCTCGCCAATGGCTCGGGGCTTAAGTAATACATTCACTCTGGGCAGATAATCCGTATAATTCCTCTAAGCTTGGAAAAGCTGTGATGATATGAAAAACCAGAATCATCTTTCATGTGATATATATATATATATATTTTTTTTTAAAAACAAACAACAGAAATTTTATCTTATTAGAGGTTATCCAAAATCATTCTCCATTCCCCTGTTTTATCGTGTTTAATGTTTAACGGGGTTGCGATCCTAGCTCTGTGATTATTGTATGTCTGTGTTAGAGTATCGGTGTTAATGTGCCGATCAAGTAGCACTAAGATCGCTTTGTGCAAGTGGCCCCTGGACCACTATGGAGAAATCGGAGACAGTTGCAGCATCTTTCACGCGTGTTTGAAATAAATGGAAATGATGAGCCTGTGTCCAGAGGCGGTTTGGGTGGCCCAGTCATCCACGGCGTCGCAATTCACTGTGCAGAGTTGCGTCCCTTGGGTGTGCCAGGATTCTACAATCGTGGGTTTGGATCTCGTACGGCCAGATTATGATTCTATTTTTGTCAGCACCATACCTGTGTTTGTGGGTTTCAATAAAATAGTGAACGAATAATTCTTGCATCGCTTCGGGATTTTCTCCCACATCTAACCACACCCCATGATCACACGGAAATGAACCTAATTTTCTTGTACTTTTTCCACAATAAAAGTGTTAACCTAGAAGTGTCATAGACAAAAATATAAAAATATCACAAATAATTAACATATGTTTTGCATTAAAACGATTTATATTTTTTCACATTTACCAAGTGTTCTATTTCCTTAACAAAAACACCATGGCTTATGCCCCTTGCAATATGACGTCATTGGTGCCAATTGATAAACATTATGACGTCATCATGCTTTGTTAGAGCCGCTTCACGTGGTGTAGGTATAGGTGTGTGATTCTAGCGTCTCAGATGCCAGCCAGCATAGTGTTATGCTGAGTCACCACTGCGCCGGAGTGTGTCGTAGGCCATGTTGTTTTACCGAAAACTGGTACTTGATATCTTTTGCGTTGAGAATAGACAGGGACCCAGTTGAATTGGCACCAATTACGTCATAATCTAAGGGGGACAACTCAGGCCTGTTTAGCTCGAAAAACGAAGGCCTCATAACGGCATATCATTTTCACACAATTGTGAGCTTCCTACTTTCACTGTGAAAAATATGAGTGTATATTTTCAAACACAGATACTAACTAATTCTAAAATTGCGTTTGTTTAGAAAAAGAAAGAAAGTGATTTTTGCGTGTACACTTCCCCTTTAAATACTGTTAAAAGCGGCGTTAAAACAAATTCACGGTCCAGTATGGGCAAACATATATGAGATTTGGTTCCGAAAAAACAGATTATCATGTAATCTTAAAATGCTCGATGTATCAGACGTATTTTCACTCCATTAGAAACGTGTATGAATACAAAAAGTAAATCGTCCTATTTATATTATAGTGCCAAATGATGGCAGCCATGTTTGTGTTATGAAGCCATATTACAAAGCACACTACGGCGCAGTGACAACACCACTGCCACAGGCTAATTTGCATATCACGTGACCGGACCTTTCTCTTGTTTATAAACAAACGCACTTTTTCAGAAATCAGAATAGAACGGACTAATGCAAGTATTTGGTGGTGCTTTGCATATTGTTTTGCATAATCATATGAATATGCTACTACAACTGCGACTGTGAGTTGCATGACAATACATATTTACACATCAAAGAGGCCGTATCACTAGCTCACCGTAGGGCTTCGATGACAGCACGTAGAGCCGTACAACCAATGTAAACATAGGATAACTACGCTAATGGAAATAGTTTTTCACGATTTAGGATATTTTCTCAATGAAAGTTAGTCATTCTATGACATATGTTTATCTAGATATGTAGACTTGGCAAAAATGAAACAGATGAAAACATAAGCAATATATCTTGAATGGGCTGTTTAAGATGTGACGAATTGTCACGTGGCGCTGGCCTGTGGCAGAGGTACTATGCTGGTCGTATGGAACTCTGGGTAGGCGCGTGATCCCATAGGGAAACCCCCATCAGCCGGGCAATAGGGTATCAGGCACTCAGACATCGAATCTCCTACCCAGAGTTCCTTGCGGCCGGCAGCCAGTCAGCATAGTACATCTGCCACAGGCCAGCGCTATGGGACGATTCGTCACATCTTTCACAGTCCATTCAAGATATTGCATATGCTGTTCATCCGTTTCACTTTTGGCAAGCTTTCACATTGTGATAAACACATGTCAAAGAATGGTTACGGTTCATAAAGAAAGTATCCTAAAACGTGAAAATCTACTTGCTTTTGCGTAGTTATCGTTTGTTTACATTGGTTGTACGGCTCCACGTGCTGTCATCGAAGCCCTACGAGAGCTAGCGATACGGTCACTTTGATACATAAATATATATTATTACTTGCCCGTGAAGAGATCACCCGTTTAATAAACATACAGCTGTATTACACATTGTGTAATACCAAAACGCGTGCTTTTGTACTCTCGTTTCACGAAATTGAAAGCTCTCAACATCCCTGGGCTTATTCAACGACATTGCTTGTGGAGATGATAGATCACTGAGAGGAGCTTATGCACACTGGATGACCCCAGCAACCTTGTTGCTAGGTTGACGTCACAGGGCATTGTTTCGCCGAAGGATCTTGCAACAAAATTCCACAAATTACGTCATCGGGTATTGTGACGTGATTGTAAACTTTGAGGTGCAAGGCCCCGTTCCACAAGGCGATCGTACGGTAGCGCGACGACAGTCGTTGGTCAAAGTTAAAGTATATGAGTTGCGATAACCTTAACGCTACGATAATTTTGTGGAACGGACGCCTGAATTCTAAAGGTGGACCGTTGGATGGTATTAAATTCATACGTTTCAACTTTTGACCTATTTGAAGTATTACTGAAGTATTACTGTGTTAAACCATGGACCTATATACAAGTCCGTGGTTAAACTCAGTTGGATTATGCCGTGGGTCGTGTAGGTGTCAGCCTATTCACACTCAACAGTATAATTCTAAAAACGTTATAAATGGCCAGTAATAAATAAAATACTAAACTCGCTCCCGTGTAAAACCAATTTTATGAAACTCGTGAATAGTTATGGTATCTGACTCGCTTTCGCTCGTCAGATACCAGAACTATTCACTCGTTTCATAAAATTGGTATTACACGGGAGCTTGTTTAGTATTCTATATTTTTGTCATGCAACTCACTGTCGCAGTTGTGGTGGCATATCTATATAATTATGCAAAACAATATGTAAAGCATATACGAAATACTTGCATTAGTCCGTTCTATACTGATTTCTGAAAAATCGCGTTTGTTTACAAACAAGAGAAAAGTCCGGTCACGTGATATGCAAATTAGCCTGTGGCAGTGGTGTTATGCTGAGTCACCACTGCGACAGAGTGTGTCAGACATCGAATCTGTGTATGTAGCTTTGTAAAAGTAGTTCCTCCCAATTGACCTCATTTGAGTTGTCAGGCTCGCTGACTTGGTCGATGCATGTCATCGTATCCCGATTGCGTGGATCGATGCTGATGATGTCAATCACTGTATTGTCTAGTCCAGGCCCGGTTATTTACAGACCGCCGTCATGTAGCTGGAATATTGCAGAGTGAGGCGTAAAAAGACAATATAAACAAACAAGAAAAGATCTCATTTGAATATTTTTCGGTACGTGATATTTTATCGGATTGGCACTCAGCAACATTCCAGCTATATGACGGCGGTGTGTAAATATGAGGTTGACCAGACAATCCAGTGATCGACATCATGAGCATCGATCCACGCAATTAGGATACAATGACATGCATCAACCAAGTCAGCGACCCTGACCACCCGGTCCCGTTAGTCGCCTCTTACAACAAGCATAGTCGCCTTTTATGGCAAGTATGGGTTGCCAAAGACCTAATCTAAACCGGATCTTCACTGGTGTCGCTATATAAAGGTGTATATACTGTACTGCAGGTGAACAACATCAAGCACTTGTGGGGGCGGGGGGGTAGTCCGGTGGTTAACGTGGTCGCTAGTAACGCCGAGGCTCGGGTTCGATTCCCTACATGGGAAGCCCATTGCTGGTGTTCCCCGTCATAATGTTGCTGAAAGATTACTAAAAGAGCCGTGAAACTCACTCAAGCAATTGCGGTGTGTTTTCTGAGACGTAATTTCTGATCGTTTACATTCCATATCGTAAACAACAAAACATATTTGACGTCGAAGTGAGCATAATTCAAGGTACTATTTGACAGTGAATGTACACGTATATAAAAAGTTTATTCACCATGACAAAACAGACATTTCACGTGATAATTACATTGTTGACATATAAAATTAGAAAAGATATGAACACACAATTTAAATAAACGTGACGTATCTATTCTTCATTGAGAGATTCACGATAAAGATTTATATATATTGTCCTTCTGGACTAGGGACCACCCATTTGATTTCCTGGAAGTCTGGGAGTTTTGTATGGAGATATTTTTTTTTCAGCAACATCTGCAAAACCAGATGCTTTTTATTAAAACAATGAGCCTATTAAAAACTTTTTGCAACTATGTATTTTTTTGACAATTTCTTTGTTTTGTCAAGTCTAGAATATAATTACTGATTTAAAATATTTAGATGGACATCTATTTTGTTCGATAAAATCCCAGCCCCTCCTCCCCAATCTCCTCCCTCCGAATCATGTTTTATCTTATGGTGTCGGCCACTCACCATGCCTAGGCGCGAAATCATACCATTTAATAAAGTAGAGTCTTCGAAACTATACATGTTCAAGGATATCTATATGGTACAAATATGGAAGAGTAGTGATTTATGTAAATAAAATTCATAAATATATACATATTGAATAAACTGTAATAATACATTTGTTTGTAAATGTGTAAATATAGACATCAGTGATGAATAGATCAGGTTTTGTTTCACTAGATCATGACATGAACTGTGAAAGATTCGCGTTGATGGTATATGTTCTAAGGATGCAGAGGTTATATATAATTTTGTAAAGTTCCCCGCAATACCTAGATATTGTGGCAATATGAATATAAACAATGTGATTTCCTTGCACGGGGTGGATATTTTGTTGCGGCAGCTGTTTTACATCTTGTTGTAGTCGTCGTCAGAGAATGATGCAGAAGGACCGCTTCAAACTCTCATTGACCGAGTGGGGTGGTCGGATGATGTGGAGTGGCATCTCACCCTCAAGGGCGCTTTCTGTATAAAGAATATTATAATTAAACATATTAACACAAATAATAATAATGATGTTAGATGAAATGAGATTTAACGTCGCGTGCAAGATTATTTAAGGCTTAAATAGCGACAATTCAACATATTAACACAAATATTGCGACTATGCTTGTCGTAGCCTCGGCGTTACCAGCGACCACTTTAACCACCGGACTACCCCACCGCCCCCACAAGTGCTTGATGTTGTTTACGTGCAGTACAGTATATACACCTTTATATAGCGATATCCGTGAAGATCCGGGGTAGAGTAGGTCTTCAGCAACTCATACTTGCCATAAAAGGCGACTGTGCTTGTTGTAAGAGGCGACTAACGGGACCGGGTGGTCAGGCTCGCTGACTTGGTTGATGCATGTCATTGAATCCCAATTGCGTTGATCGTTGCTCATGATGTCAATTACTGGATTGTCTGGTCCAGACTCGGTTATTTACAGACCGCCGACATATAGCTGGGGGGGGGGGGGGGGGGGGGGGGGGGGGGCAAGTCAAGTCAATACCATCGAAAAATTCTCGAAAATAGTTCCATAATGGCGTGTGAAAACGTCATGATCAGTTACATACATCGGGGCCACGCGTTTCAAACACACATGTAGCATTTCTTATTAACATTGGTGAAAAAGATATTTACCTGCAAAAGATTTCATTACAATGACTTGTATGGGAGGCAAGCCCCCCTGTTATTTTAGCGAGACAGCTAAAAATGGCGGCTGAAAATATCCCCTTCACGTGTACGAAATAATTAAAAAGGCTGAAATAAATTATGGGACCTCACCTATTATTGCTTAATCATTGTTTTTAATTAAAAACTTTCCTGTCACATAGACTACGTCAAGAACGGAAAAGCAACATTCAATCCCAGAAAAAAGCAACATTCAATCCTAGAAAAAAGCATCATTCAATCCTAGAAAAAAGCAACATTCAATCCTAGAAAAAAGCAATATTCAATCCTAGAAAAAAGTGGTGTATGATATCGTGCATGCGGTGATAAACCTACCAAATTCTTCACTGTTTTTCTCTGGTGTAAAAACAGCAATTCCGTTCCATGGCGCTGTCCAGCGACCGTTGAAAATCCCGGACCTTGATTCCCGATCTTCTTGTTCCTCCCACCGCCACACCTTGGACTTGTCGGGCGAAACCACGATCCATTTCCAGGTGAAGGTCGTCTTGCGAGGGAGGGTTACGGTCAGGCGCCAGTGATTGGACCCGGGGTGGACTGTCGCCATCACGCATTCCTTGGGATTCCACGACCCTAGCACTGGTAGCGAGCCGACCATTGCAACACGGGCGCTGTTTCCCAGAACATAATCCGTTTCAAAACTCACCGTCACCGTGTTTTGGCACATGCTGGAGTACGCGGCGGAAATGACGGCGAGATCGTGTAGAAGTTGTTCCTCACATATCTGCCTGAAAGTTGCCAGCATATTTCCGTTGGTAACACGTCATGACGTCATGAAGTTTCTAAGCGACGCTCCTATTGTTCCCGTTGTCAAGGTGCGTTGACGATCAATGCGAATGACGTCATAAAGGGACAATGCACGTGACGTCACAGTGCTTGCGAGGCGTCGAGAATTAGCGTTCGGTGCAGAACCAATAACATAATTGTCATAGAAACAACAGTACAGAAAACACCGAACCCCCTCCGCCACCACACATACACAAAAATCTTAACGACGTCCGTTTGTTAACTTCTTACAGCGTTCCCAAAGATGTTTTGTTTGCTTGTTTGTTTGTTGTTTACTCCGCACTCAGCAACATTCCAGCTATATGGCGGCCTGCAAATTATCAAATTTCCAAAAGTTATAAACATTCCGAAGTCAATGCGAGTGTGCCATATGAATGCGCCATACAATCACACGACCCTTAATGCTATGTGTAGAGCAATCGGAAGGGGGCTAGCAAGGGTATTAGCTTAATCTTTATCCGATCACAACACGAGCACAATGGCAGATCTCTCTCCACCATGACGTAAGTTCAACGGGGGAGGCGAGACAGCGTACAGTGGGTTTCTCCAGCAAAGCTTCTTTCTGTATATTTGTTATGAAATAAATCACAGTAAAACCCCGAGGCTCTCTCTTATAGATTGTCTGTCGTTAACAAGTGTTTCATGTTGTGTCGTGGCCACATAACGTTGAACCAAGTAATGTAATCTGTCTTAAAGTAAATCACACGCTGTTCCATTAATGAATACAAGAAAACGGTACTGCGCATGCCTGCCAGGATGAACTCAAATTTGAGGTCCAATTGAAATGATTGGTTGGTTGTTTTTTTGTTTAACGCCGCACTCAGAAATATTCCAGCTATATGACGGCGGTCTGTAAATAATCGAGTCTGGACCAGACAATCCAATGATCATGAGCATCGATCTACACAATTGGGATCGATGACATGCATCAACCAAGTCAGCGAGCCTGACCACCCGATCCCTTTAGTCGCCTCTTACGACAAGCATAGTCGCCTTTTACGGCAAGCGTGGGTTGCTGAAGACCTATTCTACCCCGGAATCTTCACGGGTCCAATTGAAATGAGGGCAGTGGGGATAGCCTAGTGGTTAAAGAGTTCGCTCGTCACGCCGAACGCCTGGGTTCGATTGCCTACATGGGAACAATGTGTGAAGCCCATATTGGGTGTCCCCCGCCGTGATGTTGATGGAGCGTTGCTAAAATCACCTACTCACTACAATGATAATGCTTCTTTAATTCTATTCAACATAAGTATAGTGGTAATAACAATGCCTCAAATAAAATCTCTTGGCAGTGCTGGAGCTGCCATTAGACGTAACATTTCTCATATAGTGAAACAACACCTGACATTCTTTCATATTATTAAATAAATAAATACAATTACCTTCATGTCCTGTCCTGTCATGTCATGTATTACATTAATTTGATCATCCCTACGAGGTTTCAAATTCCACCAACGTTCTTTTATGAATAGCAAATGACTTTGTTAATATTTATTCTGTTAGTTTAAAATGGCCTCTAGTTAACAGATTAGAGAGTGAGTGAGTATGGTTTTACGCCGCTTTTTGCAATATTCCAGCAATATCACGGGGTGACGCTTTAACCACTAGGCTACCCGACCGCCCCTAACAAATTAGAGGAATATGTACGTTTACATTATAGAATGACGTGGAATATTTAGTTGTCTATAGTTATTTAGAATAAAGATATCCCAAAACTGTATAACACCTACTAACAAGAAGTCCTTAACAATCCCACTACTCAATTCTTTCCAGAAAGTGTTTTAAAGCATAAAATGTTAATTTGCTCTGAACAGTCAAGACTCTTTATAATAAGTTAATCTTCCAAACCTGAAACATTCCAGATTGACAAATGTCTTGGTTGGTGAATAAGTGAGTTGGTTTTAACCAATTTTTTCAACAGTTGGTTGGTTGGTTTATTGTTTAACGCCGCACTCAGCAATATTCCATCTATATGACGGCGGTCTGTAAATAATCGAGAATGGACCAGACAATCCAGTGATTGATATCATGAGCATCGATCCCCGCAATTGGGATCGATGACATGCATCAACCAAGTCTGCGAGCCTGACCACCCTTTTCAACAGTATTCCAGTTATATCACAGCCTGTCTGCTTCATGTGAGAGGAAAATCCGAAGTGATGCAGGTCCTAGATACATTTATCACTTTGAGACACCCATGAGCAAGTGTAAGGTGCTGATACATCGAGAAACAATCAGGGAGAACCGGGATTTGAACCCACAATCACCGGATTCCGGCGTGCCCAAGGGACACAACTCTGAGCAGCGCATCAGACGACTGGGCCACCCGTGTCACCCTATGCATATGGAGTAATGACCCTTTCATATTTGTCGACTTTCCCAAAACAGGGTCACTTTGCACTGAACAGGGTCACTTTGCACTGAACAAGTGAGGAGGGTGCCAGGCCCCTTTTGTAACGCTGGATTCCAACCCTTGTTCAGTGCAGCGTTCGGTAAGTCAGCAGTACGAATTCTGAGCAGGGATTTTGGCTCGGAATCGAAAATCACAATATTACGCGCTTCTGAAGACGCAAGCTCCCAAAGTACGGCTCCGATTTTTTCTATATCTGCGTCTCATTGAGTAGCTGAATGTATTGGCATGGAATGAGTGCACGTTTTATAGGGGTATTTACAGTGGGCATTGTTGAATTCGTCCTCGAACGAACTTGGTGAGTTGGCCTACACGTCTATATTTCTTGCACAGAGTGACAAATCAACCAAAAATTTAGCCCTAAGGTTTAAAAGCATGCATGGTCATTCATACTATGTGAGTGAGTGAGTTGGGTTTAACGCCGCTTTTAACAGTATTCCAGTTATATCGCGGTGTGTCAGCTTGGTGTGTCAGCTTGATGTGGGAGGAAAGCCCGAAGTGATGCAGGTCTCAGACGTTTATCACTTCGGTGAAACCCACGAACACGGGCATGGTGCTGACAAACCAAGAAACATAATCGGGGCGAACCGGGATTTGAACCCACACTCATGGGTTTCTCGCGTGCCCAAGGGACGCAACTCTGCACAGCGAATTGCGGCGCCTTAGACGACTGGGCCACCCGTGCCCCCTCATACTATGTGAAAACCCCAATCACATACACTTGTACCGGCTGAATTCTATAACTGGATAAGCGGATGAAAATTGGTTACCTGGACAAAACAAAATAAGCGGTATGCAGATGCCTAGTGGGTTGGGGTTGGCTGTGTGTGAATGCATTGGTATGAGACAGATTTAAACATGTCATTAATATCACAGTGTGTCAGCTTGTTTTAATGTAGGACAGCAACCTGAAGTAATGCAGGTCTTAGACAGTTTCAGCTCTGCTGAAACCCATCTGCAAGGGTAGAGTGCGATTTCATCCGATTTCAACTTACAGACTGCCAAATGTTTGACAGGACAAGACTCGGCACAGCACAAGAAAACAACAGCTAGTTAGTATTTCACCTTTTTATTTGTATATATCTGGCTAATTGATCACACACATGCATACCTGCTATATATTCATCTAAATTGTCTCTCACCTACATTCACTCAGGGAGGGTACCGGTCTCCATCTCAAGGTCACTCATTATCAGATCAAACAAGCTTCCTGAGTGACAACCTGGGCAGTAGAATAAATCCTCCAATGACTTGATACAAGGATCAAAGGTGGACACTTCTCTCTCAACCGGAATATCAGTGTGTAAACTTAGCTGACTGTTTCTCATTTGAAAAACAAAACAACGACTAATATTTTTTTAAAGCAACCTTGATCATCTGGTGCATTTTATCATCATTCATCCTGACAAATTCCCTGCATCCATTTGCCGCCATCTTCCCGAGGCAAGGGAGTTAACCGACTGTAAAAGTCCATTTCCCCCCTTGCTGAACTAGGCTGGAATTTCTGGGCTGGATCATAGCGCCAACAGTGGACTTACCGGTTATGTCCCTCCTATTGACCAATCAGATCCCCCCTCTCATATCACTTGCATTTGATTCAAATAAAATGGCGGCACCCAGTCAAAACAATCTCATCTATAAGCAAGGTCTTTTTTGTAATATAATTGGTCTTACATCAAATCACGTGAGCACCTTGATTAGAGACATGAAAAGATTTGGAAAACATCTGTCGACACTATTTTGACAGGATTTGCAATTGACATTGCAGTCGCTATGTTGTTCATGAACCGAATTTATATTTCATTCCGTGATTTTGATTAGACTATATATAGACTCGTTAGTCCAGCCAAATAATGACACCATAAATTCAGCCTAGTTCGGCAAGGGTAGAAACTGGACTTTTTTACTCAGTTAACTCCCTTAACTCGGGAAGATGATTCGCCACCTCCTTTCAAGGCATTTACCTTCTACCACATATTGGTAGAAATATCTCATGAGAAAGTCAACATGTCAGCTTTAGGTAGGAAACTCTCAAGCACTGTCTACACACACACACACACTCAGGGTAAACTATTCAAATGATGGGGCCAGTTATTACATAATCCTCTCCACATGTTCAAATACGTGATTTTTGATTAATGATTTATGAAGGAACGTGAAATAAAATGTCATACATGTGATCTATTGGCTCTGAATCAGAATACGAAAGTTTGTTTAGAATCTTGTGCAAGCGGCACTTGGCAATAGTCTAGCTATATGACAGTTGCCTGGGCCTGGTCCAGACAATCCAGTGATTGACATTATGCTCCATCAAGTCACCTCTTACTACCAGCATTGGCTATGAGGGACCAATTTCAATCCAGAATCCAGAATCCCCAAGACATGGCAATAATTGTTTCATCAGGTAATCCAGTATTGGATGACAAAACACCTTTACAAGGCCCAAGAAATGTAGATCGAAGCTAAATGATCAGGAAATCTACAAGATCTCTGTGCAATAACAATGAGATAGTCAAACTAGTGTGAAAATGCTTACAGAATATGTCGAGAGTCAATTGATGTTGATGACATTAAATAATGGTGTTACAAATTATTTTCAGAGAGAAATTAATCCATACATTACCTATAGTTTTGTGAGCAGGAAAATGAAAAGTTGATGATCTAATAAACTTGATAACAAACTCAGTTAGCGAAACGCATAAACTTTTTGCATCAATGTTTCTTTGATGCTTAACACCACACTCAGGAATATTCCAGCTGAATGACAGTGGCCTGTAAATAATCAAGTCAATGTAGCTATGGAGGGCAACTTCACAAAAAAAACAAAGGAATTATTAAAATTAAGATATACCGGTAGTTAGGCTATGAAAACGTAATAAAAATAATATTTCTCAGCAAACCTACCAAAACTAATTTCCCCAATATCCGTGTTGCTATGGTAATATATACAACTCAAAGTTATAGAAATCCCGATTTTTTCCATATGACTACGGTTAATCTGTAATAGTAATACTCTTTAACTTCTTTTGAGTAGTATATATCAATTCTTCCTGCAAGTGAAGACGTCACTGTGGAGTTTTTAGCACAAACACTGATGAAGATGAACACAACGACCTCTGTAGTCTGTGTTGGAATAGGTTGGACGTACCACCTTCACACAGGTCACACAGGCCTCACATCTCTGTACAGTCTCTCCACACAGTCTGTGTACAACACATAAATGCTCCTCTGGGGCATCCTCACATTAAGATTTTACTTCTCAACAAAAGACTTCAGGTTCTTGAGAAACCCGAGGTACTTCCCGTGTTCGTAGGCAGTGCTGAACTCAACAAAGTTGTTGATGAACTCATCGTTGATGCCACGCTCGTCCAGCATGTCCATCAACAGGTCGTACAGGTTCTGGAAAGATCAACACGGCACTTTTACTCACCAGGTACGAAGTGTATTTCAATTTAATAGACAATAACTACTTGTGTCAATTCCATACCCCCATTAAATATGTCATATTTTGGCCCTACACATCTTCCTTAGTTTCACCCCCTCTGGATCTTGTGGTTTTTGAGAAAAAGATTCTTTAAAATTATCAACAAATTAGTTTGTTTTAAAAACATTTACATGTTCCGTCTCCCATGTCAACCGTGAACATTTTCTCTCAACATGGAGTTGTGTAAACTTACACCTGCAAGGATTTTGTACATTGTTTTAACATGACAATGATTGTCAATGTCTCCAAAAAAGACTATTTATAGAAACTACCTCGAATCAAAACAAGAAGTTTATTTTGACCAGATTTAAAAAGCCTGCAAGACGTTAGGACAGGCGACCCATAAATGTTGCCTGCCAATCTTCAAACTTACCTGTCAACATTCAAAATAAATATTGAAAAATCACGAAAAATAAGAGACATGTAGTGAAATAATGCAAACAATTACTTGAGAATCTATGAGGTGTTAAAATAAAATTGAATATGTAAGTAGTCTTAAAATTATCGGCCAGACAGACGGACAGGTGGAGGAAAATTTCATACAGCCCGACAGAAATGTGATACTCCAGGCTAGTGAATGTAATCATAATGCAGGCTAGTGAATGTCATCATACTCAAGGCTAGTGAATGTCAGGCAATTTTGTCTGACACAGGTTTTGACCTGTTGTGTCACTTTCTTAAAGCAGGAATGGTAAGTAGGTAATCATAATGAACTCTAGGCATGCCAGTTACAGAGCTCCAGACATTTTTTGAGCAACTGAGTTTTTACTCAAAGGTTTCTATTTTAATTTGGTTATTACATTTTTCACTGGGTAACCCATATTTTTTCACTCATCTATTCATCACTCTATTGGTTTTTTCCCCCCAAATGAGTACACATTTTGGGATTTCAAAAAATAAATAAAATGTTTTACATGTAAGTTACTTAGTTCTTAATGGTGTTTTGGAAATTAGCTCCGTTGTACGCATGCTGAAAAAGCTGCATTGGGTATGCTGTTATTATATTTTCGAGTTTTTCATTTAATGCATGTGTTTCTGTATGCGAGTTGGGTGGGGGGTAATTTAGGCACTGGTGTCCCCCGCTGTGATATTGCTGGAACATTGCTAAAAGCGGCATAAAAACCAAACTCACTCAGTCACTTTTTTACGCAAATACGCAGTTTATCTGTAGCTCTGCAGTATAACCTCTGGACTGATGCACTGTGAATTCACACCTGACGATATGACACATGATACACCTACCCTTCTGTCAATAAATGTTTCAAAGCCGTATCAAGTTTCAAAAAGTAATCTTTATAAAGTTTTACAGTAACCTGGCTGGATAATAACTGAAACTACCATTACCAAACTGATTACCACACCAATTATCATGAAACAAAATACTAAATCTGATTGCGTAATACTATAGAAATGAGTCTAAATCAAACCAGTCAACTGAGTTAATATACTCACCACCAAAAGAAATGTGTACCATAGACACATATAGAGAAGTATCTACCTTAAGAAGAGAATTACCAATGTGTACCAATTATTGACAAAACTAACAATCAGTCAAGTGTTACAAGAGTGACTTTATTCTTATCAGGATATGCTGCACGTGATTTCCAAACTTTACACGCTAAGAATCCTGCACGGGGGAAATGGTGCATCTCCAGTCATGGATCTATGTCACATGTGATGTGTTCATGAGCGTCGGTTCACACAAAATACCAGTACTTCGTTTGCGCATCAAACCAATCTAACATCTCTCTCTTGAATATAAGTGAGTCTTCATATAGTAACCAACATGTATGGTATACGCTTTTCTTTTGGAAGTGAGTATATAAACTGGTTGATAACTTGGAGCAGTTCAATATTAAGTGTTGTGATACATATGTTATCTCAATTCAAGCACTACAGTATCTGTAGATACTGATACAGATATAGGCCTATTTGGACATCCTTGAATACATCACCCATCGCAGATCAATTTTTAAGATTGTAGACAAACTGAAGGTCTAAAATTAATCCAAAAGGAGAGCTCCGCTGGGACACGTCCTAGCTGTGCTGCGACAAGCAGTGATGTGAAGATGACCTTAGGTGTCATCAAGGTCACAGGACAGCGACGGAAGGCCACTGATTGGGACTTGAGAACAACAACTTTATTTCTTCACCCAGGACCTTCGCAGCGCTGTCCTTCTAGTTGTCGTAAGTAAGCAGTGAATGCATTAAGGACTAATGCAGGATAAGTAAAAAATATACCGAATAGGCTCGGAGAAATTTTCGGAGAAATTTTCAGTTGCTTCCTTCATGTAATATGCTTCAGGCCAAATAAAAACGTGTCTTGTATTTCAGCCAAGTTGCATGAAAGGTGGATAATTATGGTGCAAGCTGAGAAAACCGAGAAAAGGTTTTGGAGGCAGGAGTTTGCAGAGTTTCAGATTGCCATCGGTCATCGATCACCGATAACATTTAACGGATTGATTGCTTAAGCAGTTGGACTTTTGACAGAAATTCTACGGCACCACACTTTTCATAAATTAATGGTGAGGTGAAATGGGGTTTAATGTTGCATCCAAGATTATTATTGCACTTATATATAGAGACGTGTGTGTGTGTGTGCGTGCGTGCGTGCGCATGTGTACTTGTGCTAGCCTGTACTAATGACGATTTTATAGTGCTAGCCCACCAGGGTAACAAGAAGTGCCATCTTTTAATGTCTTTTGGTATGACGCAGCCAGGGATCGAACCCTTGACCATCCACTCCCCGGGGAGACGCTCTACCACTAGACCACGGAGGCAGTCAATTTCATAATGAAAAAATAAACAGTAAGGATTAGTCCTACTTATAGTATTAGTTTCATAAAACAATGCAAAGCCTTTAAAAAACGCAAATTGAAATTCTGAGCAGCGCGTGTCTTTGTAAATACTATCTGTATCATGTCAGGAGCTATGGTGACTTAGTCAAGTGTTTTTCTTATTGTGACGTTCATTGGCCAGATTGTATATATTCATCCAATCCCGAACGGTATTGCACTCTTTTGTTGTTATGGTCTGCTATTTTAGTTGATTTGTGAGCAAGGCTGTCCAATCAGTATATTTGACTTATTGACTTTTGCTATTGACATATTACATATCTTGAGTCCAAGTCATGGACCTATGAACGGCCTGTGTCAAAGCTCAGTGGTTTGTAGGGAAACATTTATTTTCTTGGCCTCAGCAATTGAGACCAGCATGTAGCAGCCACTACCCTCACTCACCCCATCCATGGTCTCTGCAGGCAGCGTGTACACCGTCTCCTTCCAGTCTCCTTGATGGATGGACACCTCCTGGATCTCAAACTGGTCAACTGAAACAAAACAGGTAGGCGCTGTCATTGCTTGGTAAGATCCGGGGTAGAACAGGTCTTCAACAACCCATGCTTGCCATAAAAAGCAACTATGCTTGCGACTAGTTGGATCGTTTGGTAGTACTCGCTGACTTGGTTGATGCATGTTATCATATCCCGATTGCGTGGATAGTAATGTCAATCACTGGATAGTCTTGTCCAGACATGATTATTTACAGACCGCCGTCAATTAGCTGGAATATTGCAGAGTGCGGCGTTAAACAACAAACACTCTCTCTCTCCATTGCTTGGTTTATGGATACAGGTCCTCAAAAATTTTAGGACTGTGAAAAAAAAAAAAAAACCTTTAAAGATTCAATAAATAACACCATGGCCCTGAATAGAACAATTATAAATTGTTTGACTGCCTGACTGGGCAAGAGGCACTTGGTCAAAAACTGTAATTGTTTTCTCAAGTATCATTCATACCTTAGCCAGTACTGTGGGTGGCTTAGTGAATTTCTGGGGGATTTATCCAGGATTATAAACTAAAGGCCCCTGGCAGGCTCAATTGGGGAAAAAACAATGTAAGTTTCGTGTCAGACAAGTTTTTCTAACAGTCTGAAGCATAATTATTTTTTTATAATAATTTTCTTTAACAATATTTTTTTGGAATGAAATAACAGCCCCAACACCCCCCACCCCATTACCAAGCTTCCCTGTGTGTATCTGGAAGCAGTGTCAGACATTAATACCATCCAAACAAAAATGTAAAAAAACACGCGAAGTCATAATTATGATTTTTCGTCAATGTTTTTCGCAAGCAATGATCAGTTATGAAAGACTAACCAACTTTCCACACGTGAATAATACTCACCGATTGCTTCAGCTCCTTGTTCCCCGGACTCCTGCTCCATGTCCTCCGAGGGGGAGAACGCACATTGGAACGCCAGCACCTCCCCGGACCCCTTGTCGAGCTCCACAGTGAAGGGAGGCTTCGATATCATCTGTAGTGAGAACATCACATTGAAAACATAAGACAGGCTTCGAGATCATCTGTAGTGAGAACACCACATTGAAAACATGAGAGAGGCTTTGAGATCATCTGTAGTGAGAACACCACACTGAAAATACAAAAGGGAGGCTTAGAGATCATCTGTAGTGAGAACACCACATTGAAAACATAAGGGAGGCTTTGAGATCATCTGCCGTGAGAACACCACATTGAAAACATAAGGGAGGCTTTGAGATCATCTGTAGTGAGAACACCACATTGAAAACATAAGGGAGGCTTTGAGATCATCTGTAGTGAGAACACCACATTGAAAACATAAGGGAGGCTTTGAGATCATCTGTAGCGAGAACACCACATTGAAAACATGAGAGAGGCTTTGAGATCATCTGTAGCGAGAACACCACATTGAAAACATGAGAGAGGCTTCGAGATCATCTGTAGTGAGAACACCACATTGAAAACATAAGGGAGGCTTTGAGATCATCAGTAGCGAGAACATCACATTGAAAACATATGGGAGGCTTCGAGATCATCTGTAGTGAGAACACCACATTGAAAACATAAGGGAAGCTTCGAGATCATCTGCTGTGAGAACATCACATTGAAAACATAAGGGAAGCTTCGAGATCATCTGCTGTGAGAACACCACATTGAAAACATAAGGGAAGCTTCGAGATCATCTGTAGTGAGAAGACCACATTGAAAACATAAGGGAGGCTTCGAGATCATCTGTAGTCAGAACACCACATTGAAAACATAAGGGAGGCTTTGAGATCATCTGTAGTCAGAACACCACATTGAAAACATAAGGGAGGCTGCACAACAATGTGATTGAAAACACATTGCTAAACTGGGCCCTAAAGGCTACATATTTACATCATATGAATATATCTCCTAAATGCTGACTACGAGCCGATCAGTCTTTGTTTAGCCCCTTTACACACCAGACAGGGTAACAACAAGTACCATCTTTTAACTTCTTGTGGTATGACGCGGCCGGGGATCAAACCCTGGACCTTGCGCTTTCCGGGCGGACACTCTACCACTAGACCACGGAGGCGGTCTGTAAAGTCAATGGTTCCAAATGAATATATGTGTCACATCATGCTCACCACCACTGTGGGTATTCAAGTATATTAGTGGTCCCCAGCAGTCTATGCTGGTCGGAAGAGGTGACTTAATGTATTAGGTAGTTAGTTTCCGTAACTTTGTCACAGCGTTAATCATTGCTCATAATATCGATCACTGGATTGCTGGCCCAAACTTAAAGTATTTACAGACTGCGTCACATAGCTCAAATATCACTGATTGCGGCATCAACCCTCAAACACTCTCACAAGATCTCACACAGTAGTGTGTGATGTGTTTTTCATCAAATAATTGAGGAATGTATAAAAATCAGAATTTTCAAATAATCAAGCTAATTGGGGCAATTTTTTCCAATATTTAGATTGGTGCTTTTTTCAGGGGTATGTTAGTATTTTATGATTGCAGTCATTACAATAACGTAAATCGAAGTATCATTGCTGTCCTACTATGTCACACCGTTGCTTGTTTTTTTAACATTGCACTCAGCAATATTCCAGCTATATGGCAGCTGCTGTAGACTATCAAGTCATGTTCATCCCAAGTGGCATCTCACCTGCACATCTTCGTCAGTCGGAGGCGTGTCCCCGACCTGTGGCATCTGGTCCGAGTCTGCCGACCCGTTAATGTTGAAGGTCACCTTCAAGCTGGGGGAAAACAAGCATTAAACACATTTATTACAGAAAAACAGGAAATTAATAAAAGGTTTATATAACAGCTGATCTTATATGAAACTTGCATATCAGCATCAAAGTTGAATACCCCACTCAGAGACAGTATACTGACTCCGAGCCGACCAGTCCTTGTTTTAGCCCCTTAATGCCGAGCGCCAGACAGGATAACAACAAGAACCATCTTTTAACGTCTTTTGGTATGACCGGCTGGGGATCCCGCTCTCCGGGTGGACGCTCTACCATTAGACCACGGAGGCGGTCCGGTCTGTAAATAGATGATCTAGTCTGTAATCTTACCTCACATCCCCTTTGCGGGTGAGGGTAACTTGGGATTCATCAGCGGAGACCTCGAATCCCGGGATCTTCGGGAGACCAGCCTTTGACTTGCTGGTGGATTCTTCGAACTTGATTTCCTTGTCCAGGAACGTTGACAATTCTTTGTCAACTGTCAACAACAAACAAATCGAAGTAAGCAAGTGTTACGTAAGTAATTTTAGTGGTGGTAGACACTGTTGTAAATGTATTTGTAGTAACTGTCAGTGTTAGCAAATGACTGAACTTCTTGAAACATGTATTATCAAGGTCTGCCGAACAGCAGCGAGTGGAGCTTTCCAAAGTGGTTTGGAATGAGAATGGGAGTTATCTGCCCTTGTGTTTTCTAGAAGTTTCTGGAGAGGCAGAGTTTCTAAAAGGCTGGCTGTACCAATATCAGTGCGACAAGTAGATCATCCAAGACCTTTTTCTATCTGACTTGGATCTAATCTACTCGCTAAGTGCAGTTTGGAAACTTCAATATGCCTGCCAGCTTCCATCGCTATTCAGGATTCACAATTGTTAAAATCAAACAAACCAGTGTGAACTTGATATTCATTATAATGGCAACATGATTAGCAAACTATTTTAACAAAAGCAAAGGCTAAAGTCTTTTTTATTTGAACTTTCCCCAATCAATTAAAATTTGAAAACCAACTAATAATATATTTGTGACTCTTTAGATAAACTAGGGATTTACAAGAATTGCTCAGAGGCCAATATTCGGCACCAAGCCTGCAGTAAATGTCTGTAAAAATTTCCAATTTCAATTCATGTTAATAAAGTTATAACTATTTAATGTTTTGGTTCTGTAATTTAGTGTAAAGGTTACTTCTATATCTCTCATCAGTGATAACAGGACCAAGGAGAAGAGGCTATGCTTCTTAATTTTACACTATTGCACTGAATGCAACATTAAGATACCTCAGAATTTTGCAAAAAGAATATAGATTCTAATGAGTTTAAAAATGTTCATCAAAATATGCCCGACAAGGGCCTGTACCCGATGTGTACACTGATATAATTCTATCCCAATTGTGTAGATCGATGCCCATGATGTTAATCACTTGATTGTCTGGTCCAGACTCATTATTTATAGACCGGAGCTAGTCATATAGCTGGAATATTGCTGAGAGCGGCGTTAAACAACACAACAAACAAACAAACAAACAAACAAACACTGATATAATTTAAGAGTTCTTAAACTGGATCCCAAGACAAGCGGTACGTCGATCTAGATTGGAGAGAAGGCAAGGTGCGTGTGTGCGTGCGAGCGTGCGTGTGCGCGTCTTTTGGTGACCCTCATTTTGAAACTGCAATTTGTTCAGTAATTATCCCCTTAAAATTAACATATTTACAGGTTGTGACAGAAAATACATTATTTTTAGAAAAAAGTAGCTGTAAGTCGTGATTTCTGTAAAACAGCATACCTTCCGTGTGCAGCCCACAACATCCGCACGTGTTTGACCGCAGTCCAGCTCCGGCCAGAGCACGTGAGGGATTGAGCATGCTGAAATTTCTAAGGCTCGGAGACGACAGCGTGACAGGCATAGACGTCCTCGATGCACATATTGCATTTGATGTAACGAGTTGACGCCCGATCAGTTTCGCCGATGACAGCAATGACTTTCTGAATACCCCGGCCATGGTGTCTGATGAAAGATTTTGGAACGGAAAGCGTGGAGTGAACTAGCGAGTCAACTCGCGTGTGAGCGACGAAACGAGTTATTTCCCTTGAATAATACTCAAAGCTATGAACAAAATTTGAAGGAGCGCCTGTAAAATCTTCATGTCTTGAGCAGGCCGTATCCCGTGATAGGACCTTCTGATCAGGACGTTTGTCAACATGACCAAAGCAAATAACCCCGTCAAAAAGCTGACACTTTGAGGATGTCATCTGTAGGATGACTCCGCGCCCTGCTAATTTGTATCATCATTGACCATTGATCTGTAACCCGTAACGTACGTATATATGTACAGTCGTACTTCACTCGGAACACGAACTGAATCTGGCGTGTATGATCTGTACAAGTAGCGTAATACTGTAATAAGAAAACAGTGTTATCACTACGCCCGCCACCGGGCACATTAGAATTTGAGGTGTTTACCTCAGATCTGATATTCTAAAAGCAGGCATGGCAAACATGATGCACAACATCTAAATCATGGAGAAAGGGAGGTAACTCCGAAAACAAAAATTACGGCACATTGTTTGTTAACACAGTCTTGAAAACTGTGTCTTAGATTTATAAGCATGCAAAATTTCATTGATGTAACTTCAGTAGTTTTTGAGGAAACTTGTTTCCAATGCAGCCTCCAACGGGTTTGGATAATCAGACTCGCTGACATGGTTGATGCATGTCATCGTATCTCAATCACGTAGATCGATGCTGATGATGTCAATCAGTGGATTGTCTGGTCCAGACTTGATTATTTACGGACGTCGTGTAGTTGGAGTATTTCTGAGTGTGGCGTTAAACAAACATATAAACAAACAACATTCGACTGATAGATCATCTACCCAAACACCAAATACAAGTTGCAGTTCGCATATGGTTGCCAACATAACATCAATACAGCACTATTGAGGATTCTAAATGATCTGGGGGAAAAAACGGTAGTTGATTCTGGAAACATGACTCCAGTGTTGCTTGATTTAAGTGCACCTTTCGACACATCGATCATGATCAACTGCTGACTTTGAAGTAACAGATCAGAATTAATGGAATGGCCCTGCGGTTACCATTTTTACGATATGTTTCTATGGTTACCATTATTACGGTATGTTCAGTTCCTACCTTGGCAGAACTCAATGCGTTTTAGTGAAAACGGATACATCTGAAAAAAACAACAGATCTTAACTGCGGCGTTCCACAAGGTTCTGTCTTTGTCCAGCCCAGGTCCGGATATGCCTGAGTCCTCTTGGCTGTGTTACAGACAAGCCCAACAATATCCACTATTTATACGTTGTTTGTAGATCAATTCAAACAGAATCAGAGTCTTTAGGCTGGACTGCAGAGTGCCTACTGGGAATCAAGGAATTACAGATGAAATACTGAAACGTAACGATAAAAAACAAGAAGTCATTCTTGTTGGTAGCTGTCTAAGTTTAACCCACCTGAACTAAGCATCAAAGGAGACCAGTGGAACTGCCTCATCTGGGCCCCGGTCCACAAAGCAATCGTAGCACTAAGATGATCATAACTCCCATTCTTTATCATAGGCTTACGACAGGCATAGCGCTACGATCTCTTTGTGGAACATATTTAGATCTATGCATCAAGATCTGGAGTGACTCTCCACAAGACTTAATGACAAGGGGCGGTCGGGTAGCCTAGTGGTTAAAGCGTTCGCTCGTCACGCCGAAGACCCGGGTTCGAATCCCGACATGGGTACAATGTGTGAAGCCCATTTCTGGTGTCCCCCGCCGTGATATTGCTGGAGTATTGCTAAAAGCGGCGTAAAACCATACGCACTCACTCACTCACTTAATGACAAGAGGATGACTTCAAGTTTCCAATAGTCAACTGTCCCTTTCTGTCTAGCAATATTCTAGCAGCCTCAGAGTTTGGTGTCTACATTTCACTCCCTACATTCGGGAATACATTTCACTCTCTCTTGAGGTACATTCGAGAATGCTCTTTCTACGAAGATTTCAGAGAGAACATTTGACTTGCCTTTGCATGCAACACCTGGTATCATCACAATGTGACGTTGTTTCACAAACACATACTCATGATATAGCCGGAATCGTTAAATGGCCTCTGGTTTTAGCAGATATTTCTTATGATCATGTATCTGGTTTTAGTCGCCTTTATTCTTTTAACGGAAGTGTTCATTGAACTGTGAGCGTCAATGCATAGTATTTTAAAACAGGTTTATCCAAACGTTTCAAACAGTGGAAAACATATTCAGTCGCGTGATACTGTCAAACTGTTATCAACATATGTGATCCACCACGATAAAGGGGACCTTATGGAATACAATGTGCTATGACGTCACAAAGCCATTTGACATCAACTTACTTCTGTGAAGATCGTCATGTGTGATGTCATGCATCTCTGTAATAAATATGAATTGAAGCGTGTAAAATGTGTTTTTGTGTTCCAAAGATGCTGTAGTTTTAAAATATAATGAAAAGTCAAAATGTGATTTTTCACCCATAAGGTCCCTTATCTCACATGCCTTAAAATACATATTGGGGCGGTCGGGTAGCCTAGTGGTTTAAGCGTTCGCTCGTCACGCCGAAACCCCGGGTTCGATTCCCGACATGGGTACAATGTGTGAAGCCCATTTCTGGTGTCCCCCGCCTTGATGTTGCTGGAATATTGCTAAAAGCGGCGTAAAACCATACTCACTCACTCACTAAAATACATATTACCTACCATTTAACATCAACCCATTATGAACTACGTTTGTCATTGAAAGATTATATAATTTGATTATAGTCTCAGAGGACACTCAGTATTGTAACGTCACATCTCACGTATTCTCGCTGTTGTAACATCACATCTCACGTATTCTCGCTGTTGTAATGTCACATCACACTTATTCTCGCTATTGTAACGTCACATCTCACGTATTCTCGCTGTTGTAACGTCACATCTCACATATTCTCGCCGTTGTAACATCACATCTCACGTATTCTCGCTGTTGTAATGTCACATCTCACGTATTCACGTTGTTGTCACATCTCACGTATTCTCGCTGTTGTAACGTCACATCTCACATATTCTCGCTGTTGTAACGTCACATCTTACGTATTCTCGCTGTTGTAACATCACATCTCGCGTATTCTCGCTGTTGTCATGTCACATCTCACGTATTCACGTTGTTGTAACGTCACATCTCACGTATTCTCGCTGTTGTAACGTCACATCTCACGTATTCTCGCTGTTGTAACGTCACATCTCACGTATTCTCGCTGTTGTAACATCACATCTCACGTATTCTCGCTGTTGTAATGTCACATCTCACGTATTCACGTTGTTGTAACGTCACATCTCACGTATTCTCGCTGTTGTAACGTCACATCTCACGTATTCTCGCTGTTGTAACGCGTCATGTCACACGTATTCTCGTTATTTACTGTTGGAAGCTGTTAATGATCACACAAAGATGAGCAATAACACTTTTATAATGATGGTATGTTATTCATCAACGTAGGTCTAAAATGTAGTTGGGGGGGTGGGGGGTGGGGGGGGGGGGGGGGGGGGGTGGGGGTGTCGGTGGGGGGGGGGGGGGTGTTTTTGCTAAAAGTGGCGTACAACCATACTCACTCACACTATAGTGCAACTTTCTCATTCCAGATTATGAAAACTATATTGCTGCTTGAGTGTGAAAACAGGACCGAAGCCCTAGAAAACATCAGGAGTCAAGCTGCCGAACAGGGGCGGTCGGGTAGCCTCGCTGTTGTAACATCACATCTCACGTATTCTCGCTGTTGTAATGTCACATCACACGTATTCTCGCTATTGTAACGTCACATCTCACGTATTCTCGCTGTTGTAACGTCACATCTCACGTATTCTCGCCGTTGTAACATCACATCTCACGTATTCTCGCTGTTGTAATGTCACATCTCACGTATTCACGTTGTTGTCACATCTCACGTATTCTCGCTGTTGTAACGTCACATATCACATATTCTCGTTGTTGTAACATCACATCTCACGTATTCTCGCTGTTGTAATGTCACATCTCACGTATTCACGTTGTTGTCACATCTCACGTATTCTCGCTGTTGTAACGTCACATATCACATATTCTCGTTGTTGTAACATCACATCTCACGTATTCTCGCTGTTGTAATGTCACATCTCACGTATTCACGTTGTTGTCACATCTCACGTATTCTCGCTGTTGTAACGTCACATCTCACATATTCTCGCTGTTGTAACGTCACATCTCACGTATTCTCGCTGTTGTTACATCACATCTCGCGTATTCTCGCTGTTGTCATGTCACATCTCACGTATTCACGTTGTTGTAACGTCACATCTCACGTATTCTCGCTGTTGTAACGTCACATCTCACGTATTCTCGCTGTTGTAACGTCACATCTCACGTATTCTCGCTGTTGTAACATCACATCTCACGTATTCTCGCTGTTGTAATGTCACATCTCACGTATTCACGTTGTTGTAACGTCACATCACACGTATTCTCGCTATTGTAACGTCACATCTCACGTATTCTCGCTGTTGTAACGTCACATCTCACGTATTCTCGCCGTTGTAACATCACATCTCACGTATTCTCGCTGTTGTAATGTCACATCTCACGTATTCACGTTGTTGTCACATCTCACGTATTCTCGCTGTTGTAACGTCACATATCACATATTCTCGTTGTTGTAACATCACATCTCACGTATTCTCGCTGTTGTAATGTCACATCTCACGTATTCACGTTGTTGTCACATCTCACGTATTCTCGCTGTTGTAACGTCACATCTCACATATTCTCGCTGTTGTAACGTCACATCTCACGTATTCTCGCTGTTGTAACATCACATCTCGCGTATTCTCGCTGTTGTCATGTCACATCTCACGTATTCACGTTGTTGTAACGTCACATCTCACGTATTCTCGCTGTTGTAACGTCACATCTCACGTATTCTCGCTGTTGTAACGTCACATCTCACGTATTCTCGCTGTTGTAACATCACATCTCACGTATTCTCGCTGTTGTAATGTCACATCTCACGTATTCTCGCTGTTGTAACGCGTCATGTCACACGTATTCTCGTTATTTACTGTTGGAAGCTGTTAATGATCACACAAAGATGAGCAATAACACTTTTATAATGATGGTATGTTATTCATCAACGTAGGTCTAAAATGTAGTGTGTGTGTGTGTGTGTGTGTGTCGGTGGGGGGGGGGGGGGGGGGGGGTGTTATTGCTAAAAGTGGCGTACAACCATACTCACTCACACTATAGTGCAACTTTCTCATTCCAGATTATGAAAACTATATTGCTGCTTGAGTGTGAAAACAGGACCGAAGCCCTAGAAAACATCAGGAGTCAAGCTGCCGAACAGGGGCGGTCGGGTAGCCTCGCTGTTGTAACATCACATCTCACGTATTCTCGCTGTTGTAATGTCACATCACACGTATTCTCGCTATTGTAACGTCACATCTCACGTATTCTCGCTGTTGTAACGTCACATCTCACGTATTCTCGCCGTTGTAACATCACATCTCACGTATTCTCGCTGTTGTAATGTCACATCTCACGTATTCACGTTGTTGTCACATCTCACGTATTCTCGCTGTTGTAACGTCACATCTCACATATTCTCGCTGTTGTAACATCACATCTCACGTATTCTCGCTGTTGTAATGTCACATCTCACGTATTCACGTTGTTGTCACATCTCACGTATTCTCGCTGTTGTAACGTCACATCTCACGTATTCTCGCTGTTGTAACGTCACATCTCACGTATTCTCGCTGTTGTAATATCACATCTCACGTATTCTCGCTGTTGTAATGTCACATCTCACGTATTCACGTTGTTGTAACGTCACATCTCACGTATTCTCGCTGTTGTAACGTCACATCTCACGTATTCTCGCTGTTGTAACGCGTCATGTCACACGTATTCTCGTTATTTACTGTTGGAAGCTGTTAATGATCACACAAAGATGAGCAATAACACTTTTATAATGATGGTATGTTATTCATCAACGTAGGTCTAAAATGTAGTGTGTTTGTGTGTGTGTGTGTGTGTGTTTGTGTGTGTGTGTGTGTGTGTGTGTTGTTTTGTTGTTTTTTGGGTTTTTTTTGGGGGGGGGGTTATTGCTAAAAGTGGCGTACAACCATACTCACTCACAATATAGTGCAACTTTCTCATTCCAGATTATGAAAACTATATTGCTGCTTGAGTGTGAAAACAGGACCGAAGCCCTAGAAAACATCAGGAGTCAAGCTGCCGAACAGGGGCGGTCGGGTAGCCTAGTGGTTAAAGCATTCGCTCGTCACGCCGAAAACCCGGGTTCGATTCCCGACATGGATACAATGAGTGAAGCCCATTTCTGGTGTCCCCCACCGTGATATTGCTGGAATATAGCTAAAAGCGGCGTAAAATCAAACTCACTTACTCTCTAAAATGTATGAAAGTCACCCATCCTAAAGTGGCATTAGGTGGTAAGGTCGATCTCATGTAAAATATAGTTAACCCAAATTCTGTTCAACTCAATATGAATATAGCTAACACGCATGAGCAAGTCTCAGTCGGAAGTAGTCTGATTCAGTGGGCAGAGAGACTGTGTAGATATTCGTCTGTTGACGCTGACATTGTTGTCCGTAGCTACCTTAAACAATACACGACTTCAGGATCTTTACAGATATAATGGTGAGTGAGACACATTTTCATAAAATAATTGATCAAAATTGACTTAATTGTCAATCGATACACTATTTGCTACAAAATGCATGATACTAGCAAAACTAGGTTAAACAGTAATGAAATTGTACTTTGAACATTATGATGGTAAAACTTTATACTGGTAAACAACAGCGTTAACACAAATGTTGACTCTAACAGTGTCCTTCCGTTGGTTTATTTGATGTGGTCCACATATATCTTTTTACATACTGGATGCCTGTTATTGGTCTGGGTAAGTAGACACCAAATAACACTATGGTTAGTTTCACCTGTTAGATCGTCTCTGCATGTTACTGTTGAGATGTCTAGGCAATTTAAGAAAATGGACACTGTGACCACCATCAATTGCTCAGTAGCGACAGTCTTTTTAAAAAGCTATACCGCTTGATTGCATTAATACTTGACTTGACTACGCACGTAGAACCCTCAGAAAAACAGTGGACTTATATCTGCTAAAATCCATCTGTTGGCTAAGCTACTTGACAAATATACCCGGAAGTGCACTGTACTTTAACCTGATAGTGACAGTTTACAGCACGCGTTTACACCGCATTGTTTGGGAGCCATTAACCTGAACAAACTTAAACATCTTTATCAATAAGCAAACGCTAACTATTGATGGATTCTTACGCAATGAACGACGCCCAAGTTATGCTGTACAATATTCATGAAGCATAGCGTTTTATGTAAGCATGAATGTTATAGTAGGACATTTAAATATGACTGTCATCTTTTGCCATTTGGTCATAAAGACTTATTTTTGAGAGGAAAGTGTCACGTAAGGCTGAACAAGCAGATAAACGCAGTTGCCGATGATCGCATCCAAAAGTTGGAGAGATATGACAATCGGTATTATAAGAAAAGGTACAGATAATTGACGTGAGGATTGTGATAATATACGGGTTATACCAAACGTATCCCACCTGTTCGTAAAATGGACTTGTCCGACATTTCCGGGGCCGAATTATATTCAGGGAGTCATCATTATCATAATTCGTGTTAATATTTAAACTTGGACATTTAATCAACGAGGCTATCTCATATAAGAAATAAACGACTTGTGGTCGTTGTTTATCGTACAATAAAACACTGCGTCCCTCATGGTCTGTTCTCCCTGCAGTGTTTTATTGTACGATAAACAACGACCACAAGTCGTTTATTTCTTAAATAAACCTTTCATAAATCAAAACCACATACTGGTTACTAATAGCAAACAGCAATAGAAAGTGTCACAATATTCAAATCTGTTCTCTGATAAAAACTAAATGAAGTCATGACACCCAAAGGCAAAATTATTTTGAATAATATGTTAGTCAGTATTTGCTTGCTCAGGAGCTAACTGTTTTAGAGGACACAGACATTTGCTTTATCATCATCAAAACAAGGAAAACATTTCAAGACCGTTTACATTCAAACATCACCTCTGCCGTACCAGAGTTGGAAATCATAGAAATAACTGTGAAACACTATTCAATGTCTCATCTGGATCTGTTCAAAGAATTTAAAACTGATGGCGAACCCTGTCCCAACCTATACGACAATCGGGATGATTTCGATTTTCCAATCGTGAATTTCCCCGTCTTGTTGAGCAAATATACCATCAGCTCCAGCTTATGGCGTCTACCATTCTCAATTTCTAAGGTACTTTTGAGTATGTACATTTTCTTTAAATTTCAAGGAGACATATTATGTGTGTCTATCAAGGTTTCAACACCAATGGTCTGGCTAAAATATTCCAATATCCAGAATTCCACAATTCCACAATCAATGGTAGACATGACTACATATGACACGTTGACATCCGACCCGTGAACTTCCGGTTAGAATAGGTCTTAAGCAACCCATGTTTTCCGTAAAAAGCGACTATGTGTATGCTTGTCCTAAGAGGCGATTAACGGGATGGGTGGTCAGGCTCGCCGACTTGGTTGATGCGTGGATCAATGCTCGAGATGTCAATCACTGGATTGTCTGGTCCAGACTCGAATATTTACAGACCGCCGTCATGTAGCTGGGATATTGCTGAGTGCGGCGTTAAACAAACAGACAGACGTTGACATCCCTGGCCGATACAGATTTTAACAAGTAAGTCTCAGACTGGTTATTCATTTTTTGGTATCTGCCAGCGACTTGTGATATTACTTACTGCACCGACAGAAATATTTTGACATTTGAGAACCTATGATATTACCTCTTCATACTTCGGATTTATTGAAATATTCCACCATTCATATGTCAGATGTAACCTGTATAGCCATCACAGGCGGGGTCTTTAATGTGTCTAGTTTCATTTATGACCAAACCTATAGCTATGCCCACACGCATAAGATCCTCAATGTTTATCAGTTTCGTGTCAAGATACCTTATTCATCAGAGTGTTACGTATGTAGAACCCTTAAACGTCAATGGGATCTAGGGTACAGCGGGCGGAGGTTATGTGATGTAAGTGTCACTATCTTAGACAGAAACAAGTTGACATCTAAAGAATACATGGGGCACGAGTTGCGTCCCGTGGGCACGCCAGAAACCTATGATTGTGGGTTCGAATCCCGGTTCGCCCCGATTATGTTTCTAGGTTTGTCAGCACCATACCCGTTCTCGTAGGTTTCACCGAAGTGGTAAACGTCTGAGACCTGCATCATTTCGGACTTTCCTCCCACATTAAGCCGTCACGCTGCGATATAACTGGAATACTGTTAAAAGCGGCGTAAAACCAAACTCACTAGCTCATCTGAGAAGAGCGTCACATGACTCTAGCTCAAAAGTTCAAGGTCTTTGAAAAAAATTCAAACCTACAGCAGTGATTTCATATGATTGTGTAAATGGTTTGTCGCTTTTATTTAAGTAAAATATGGTTTAAACCATAGAATCATGTTTTGCCTGAGGAATCACCGATCAGCACTTTAAATAACTGTACGTGAAATTCATGTGAGAAAAATGTAAAACCTGAAATGTCCAACTGAATTCATTTTGATGCAAACATACGGAAAATATAACGGTCATTCCTTATTCAGAGATCACTATGTCTGACTTCATCGCTGTGTCAGCCATCAAGAACTACCTGACCGAGTGCCCAATCTGCAATGAACAGTTTGATGAGGCCTCCCATCTCCCCCTCCGAATGCCTTGCTGTGTACAATGTATATGTCATGACTGTCTCCAGAAGATCTACAAGGAAACAGACAAGACGTTGCTTTGTCCAATCAGTCGCCACAATCATCATCTTCCTAATGGAGTCGAGTCTCTTCCAAGCGAACCCCTCATTCTGAAAATCCTTGACGATCTGAAGATCCACAAAGGTCTCCGCTTGCCATGTACAGATTGTCCGGACAACAACGAGGCTGTGGCCAGATGTGATGACTGCTGTGTCTTCATGTGCACAGAGTGTAAAACATCACATGGCCGACATAGATTATCTAGACACCACTCGACAGTTACCTTTGAGGAGATGAAAGGCCGACCTGTCCAGAGCTTTCGTCGTTTACATCAGTGTAGTCAGCATCAACAGCCACAGCAATTTTACTGCTACACTTGTGACAAGATCATATGCGTGTCTTGCACTGTGCTAGACCACGAAAAAGGAAAGGGACACAACGTTGTATCTGTAGCTGAGGCACACCAGGATAAGGCACAGTCTACTGATGACACTTTGGCCAGACTCGAAGTGAAGACAAAGAAACTATCTGAAACAGAAACGGAACTGACGAAAAGATTACAAACCATCATGGTATCAACAGAAGCTGCTAAGCAGGACATCAATCAGACTTTTGACAACCTGATTGATAACATACAGGAACGAAGAGCCATTCTGTTGTCAGATGTTGAGCAGAAATCCACCAAATCACGTAAACTAACAGAAGAGGCCCAGGAGTCAACCCGAACATTGCTGACTAAACTGAAGTCTTCCACTGAATATACAAAACAGATGAGGGGGAAAGCTGACCAGATAGAGGATCTACAACTGATGTTGTCTTCTGCCGGCTCCTTGAACACCTTGTTGGAAGAGTCCCCAAAGGAAGTTGCGTTCTTCAGAACAGGAGTCAGTTGTGTCCCTGGCAACTTAGATCATCTAGTCACTACTATCAAGTCGACAGGATTAGTCAGGTCTATTACATTCTCCCCGTCTAGGAGGCCAAACAGTTTACCAGAAATTGACACCTACAACACTATCACTCTGGAACCAACAGAGGTACCTGAAGGTAGGTTTGAGATGCTTATAATGAATGTAGCATATGACGAACTTTGTCACTGTTGTGCATATAAATGGACACATTTACAGACGTTCAATCCCCCCGCCCCCTTATTATTATTGTTATAAATGTTAGTATATTGTCACATGGCTAATGATAATGTGGGAATATTGATGTACAATTCTCTCAGTCGATAAATAAGATCTTGTCATGTTTTATGTTTCAGGAATTTCGACATATGTGTTATGTAGTTCCAATGAAGAAGACCAAGTTTTGTTTTATAGTAGTTTTCAGGAACAATAAGTAGTATTTAAAACAAAGTCCTCCTTGTGATGTTTGGCACCTTTAATATTGATGTGTTACCTGTCAATACTATTTGTGAGTCGTAACCTATGAGGTGGTTACTTATTTTCAGTACCCAATGTTCACAAGAGAATTTCTGGACATGAAGAACAGGTTACATGTGAGTTGTTTAAGAACGGTACACATACAAAACACAATGCTCGCATGAACATTGCAGCTAGAATAAATAACAATCACCTTTATCCCGGAACCGTGTGTATTAATCCAATGATTAACATCATGAGCATCAATCTAGGCAATTGGGATACGATGCCATGCATCAACCAAGTCAGCGAGCCTGACCACCAGATCCCGTTAGTCGCCTCTTACGACGAGCATGGTCGCCTTTTACGGCAAGCATGGGTTGCTGAAGACCTATTCTACCCAGGATCTTCACGGGTAATCTGACTATGAGCAACTCCATGATCTAACATGGTATTTTACAACATGTTCGTACTGTTTTTATTTACATCTGTGAAAATCAGCTTGGTTAATAAGATGTGTGTACTTTTCAACCAATACTAAGACAATCTGGAGGGAGCATTGTGCCTATGTATGTGTATTTTGAGAGGGTGATCATTGATTTCAGATCAACAAATTTCAGTTTTTATGAAACAGTTAATATTCAATACTGTTTTACCCGCATATGTGTTCTTTCGATGAAAGGGTATATTAAAGAAATTGGATTCTTCAACAACAAAAATTAAAGTGTTTATTGGAACTAATACTTAAAGGCCTGCAATATATATGATTATTTCGAGCTTGTTGGCATGTGTCACCTTGCCTGGTATTTGGGTTGTCGCCCTTGTCTTCAATGATACACCTCACTCTAGATGATAGCTATTCGCTCCTTTGTGCATAAACGATTACTTGGTTATGTATATATGATTACATATTTCATGTCTCCTCCTTGGCTGTCATGACATGAGATAAATACTGAACCAAATGTGAAGCAAATGTTTACCTTTTGGGGGCGTGAACGATTATTTACGTCACCTTTAACACGTAAACCTGGCTGATTTAACTGTAAACAATTCATAACTCCTGTCATTTTATTCCATCCAGTGTTTGTTGTTAACACAGGTCCGACCCTGGAGTGGGACTCCAACACAGCCAGCGATGAAGTCACTATATCCGGATCTGTAATCACTAACACCAGGCCAGATCCTCCTCAACCAGACACCGGGTGTCGTATACAATCAGGGCGACATGCCATGGCTTCACGGCCTCTGGTCATCAGGCGCGGTCAGCGTGACATGTTTCATGTGAAGGCGCGATACACAGTGAAACATGTGAAAGAAGAGAATAAGATGGTATTTGAGTTGGCGCTGACCTCTTCACCTGCAGATGCCCCATGCTGTCAATGCACTGGACTGAGTGTACATGTTGTAACATGCACCAAGCACAAGCAGCACCTGTGTCTCCGGGTGATGTACAATACCAAACCCCTCACTGACATCCCGCTCTGCAAGAACCAGATCGGGGAGTCACATGATTTACACTTATGTTTCTTCCTGGACGGTACAAAGGGGAAAATCAACGTTGTTGATGTTGTTGCGGTCAAAAGGATCTGCACAGTCAAAGATGCTGCGTTTGACAGGCCACTGTGGATCATGATGTGTGCAGATACACCTTCCAACTTGGACATCAGAGGGGAATTGATATCCGGCCACGATATGACTGTGTCTGACGGGTTGTCCCGACTGTTGTCATCACTGTATCAACCACATACATAACGAATATGTGTAAGTGCAATCGTCAATGCACCCTGTATGTTGTAGCTGTCTATGTACTTGCATATCCATTTGTATATGACTGGGTATCTCTTAGTTCAGCTGGTACCACACTGTAGAACCTTAAGTAGTATCCAAATGACATTAATAGTAGGTTCAGAAAAGTAAGTGTGTTAGTGTTGATGTGATTACGATTCAAATGAATGCAGGTAGTCCTGCAGTGTTATGATTATCTCGCTTGTTCCCTTGGTATTGTTCTATGACGTTATTGTTCTGTCACGTTATTGTTCTATGAAGTTATTGTTCTGTGATGTTATGGCGTCAAGCATTTTACCCATCACGCATGACTATGAAGGGTGTACATTTAATGTTATGAAAACCCTCTCTCTTTTTTAACGAACGTAATTTAAATACATTTTTAACGTGGATAATAAATAATTATATCATCCTCGTTCTCGATATTTTTACAAAACTCGTGAACTTTCTATGGTATCTGATACCACATAAAATCATAGATACCATAGAAACATACCGTAAAAATGGTAACCATAGAAACAAATCGTTAAAACGGTAACCATAGAAACATATCGTAAAAATGGCAACCATAGAAATATATCGTAAAAATGTTACGAAACGAGAATGAGTGTACTATTCGTTATATATCAAATGTATATCTATTAAAAATTCAAGCATTTCAAATAGCTGTTCATCCCTTAAACATACTGAACAACAAAAGTTCCTGTGACATTGAATAAGATTTAACCCAAAGTTATGTTTGTTACCAAATCTGAAACAATTTGGCTTTGCATCAGATAAAAGACTCCTGTAAGTGTTCAAATGGTTTAATTTGCCATACTGACTTCAGAAAATGCGTGATTTCAGAAAAAAAACATGAACATGCCAAAATGTCAATTTACAAATTAATAGCGTGTGTGTCCACCTCTGGTTGCGATGCAAGCAACACATCTCCTTCTCATGGAATGGACCAGGCGTCGCACAAAGTCCTGTGGGATATCTTTCCATATCTGCTAGAGCATGTTTCGAAGTTACATACGAAACGTCAGAAATTTAATTAATATGATACTGACAAAAATCGAACATGTAGAAGAGTCGGCGTGCGAACGTTCAGTTGTGAAATTCAGGATTTCTTATCATTATCTATAGAAGCCACGAAATCCTTTCCATAATCATATGAAGTGATGATACAAGGTTTTCGCTAAAAGGTGAGCGTATCCTGCCCAGCCACAAACACCAGTCACAAACACATGCAAATTCAAGTCAAATAACCACAAAGATAAAAGCAAAACAACGTTTTCTATATTCAGAAATTTCTGCCCAAACCAGAGTCGATTGTACGAATCCAACTGCATCATGACCATGTGTGTTTATAAATCACTATAGGTACAGATGTTCGCGAAAAGCGCAAGGGAACCTGCCCCACCGGTTGAACGCGTCACAAATACATGAAAAGGCAAGTCAATTGTGTACCTGAAACAACACGGGAACACGTGTACAAGTGAACACAGGGAATCGCATCGGACATAATTTTTGTCACTGATGCCTCACATTTGGAAATGTCCCCAACATGTGTACCATAAAACCCTTTGAAGCTTTACTGAGGATTTTAATGATATAACCTTGATCAAACAACTTCCGAGCAATTTTTGTATGACGCTCTTTGATTTTCTCGATTGTACCTAAAAAGTTGTGAAATGTAAACAGCAAGGGCTGGAACTGTAGGAATATTGTTCGACATAATGGAAAGTTGACTATGGGACGGTGAAGTTATCCCTTTTGTCTTACAGTCTTGTGGAGAGTGTTTTGTCCCCTGAATGTTTACATATAGATCTAAATATGAAACAGATGAAGCGGTCTCACTGGTATCCTTTATTTCTAGTTCAGGTGGGTAAATTGGAGGAAGGGAATTGGCTATTTGATGGTTACTGAACGATATACTTTAGGGGTATGTCTGCAGTTTGAGGGTCTGGCCACAACTCCATTTGCCAATCCGAGCAGATATTCTGCAGATCAGATCAACAAGAAGGGGAGCGCAATTGGATGCCCATGGGGACTTCTTGCCTAAATGTTCTCAATGAGGAAGTCCAGCATTTCACATATTGTTTTCTCAGTAAACATCAGATGGCATTTGCTTTCATTTTTCATAAATTGTCATGAACCTCTGAATATAGATACGTTACTGTATCTGTGATTCAGCACATTTTGTAACAAAATCCCACGGATCAAGGAATTAAGTTTTTCCTTAAGTTTGTCATGTGGGATAGTGGTGTACAAAGTTGAAAATCAAATAGTTTGGCAGAATTAAACCTGGTTCATTTCTGAGATTGTAAAAAAGTCAAGCCAATATATTTTTATATCTACCTTTGTACGGACTTTTGTGGAGGAATGAATATGTTTTCAGGTTTTAGCATGGTTTTGGCAGATTTCTTCCTCACTTTTTAACATACTTATATGTGGCATTACAGTAAACTACAGAAACAATCGATACTGTGGGAAACTTACTGTTTGTAGACCCATTCATCAGCAAAAGTTTTATTTCATTCAATGAACGACACCTTTTGTCTTATTCTTACTTTGTGCACCCCGATAGTTGGGAGAGGCAACAAATCTTCCAAATGAATGGTATCATTTGGTCCTCATCCTTTCATTTGAACATGGCTGCATCAAAGTTTTGGGGATGCAGGAAACATACTCAATCCACTGATGTTGGCTGTTCGTTGGTTAGAAAGACTGACAATATTCTATATTTTGTCATTACACCCATATGACAGTCGAACCCAATAATAAGGTCGATTGCATTTAAAGCTATCAGATGGATAGTATATTTTCCCTGATGTCCTAAATTTTCCGTAAAGTGACTATCAGAAATGAAATGTTAGAAGACACAATAGAAAACATTCAACAATAGACTTAAGTGAATCCTCAAAGGGCACATTCAATGCCGTAGATGACGTTTTTAATTTGACATAACAGGTCTTCAAAAGGTTTGTGTATGTTTTAGCTGTAAAGCTATATTTGAATGCAGGATCAGTTATCAAATAAGTCTGTGAATCATATGATTGCATAGGTCAAGCCAGTAAAGTGACGTATCAAAACGAGACTGCATTCAAGCCCAGACTTGTCTATGACCAATCAAACTGACATTTCAACGTTATTTATTTAAATGTTATTTATAGACATGATGAACGCACTCATCCACTTGTCTGTCCATTCAACCGTCCTCAATCAGAGAGACAGGTTGAGAAGACATTGGTATGTGTGAATTTACCATCATGGTAACGAAGATACCAGTTTTTTCAAAGTTCTGTCCATTCAGTCAGCATTACCCTACAGTCATTCATATCGATGACAAGACATAATACTCTTCTGAACAGTATTACATGTACAGCGAAGACACAGCCGAGCATGTTATAAAATGCTCATCACCTGGCGAGGAGAAATGATTGGGTATATAAGATAGGCAGCTTTACCATTAAACGTAGAGTAGTGTAGGCTGTGATGTGGTACAAAAAGTATCGCTTGTCATCATCTCAGTGAGTGAGTGAGTGAGTGAGTGAGTGAGTGAGTGAGTATGGTTTTACGCGGCTTTTAGCAATATTCCAGCAATATCACAGCGGGGGACACAAGAAATGGGCATCACACAATGTACCAATGTCGGGAATCGAACCTGGGTCTTAGGCGTGTGGAGCGAACGCTTTAACCACTAGGCTACCCGACCGCCCCTCATCATCTCAGTTGTTCAAGACCGAGACCAGTGTATGCTGACACCAAGTTCCAGGACGATGTTAAATCTGCGTGCATTCTTTGGCACAGTTAAATTCCAACAAACTGTTGCCATGTGTCCAAACACCACTACTTCACTGTTTAAAACCTCTTGTTGATACTGGGGATGTTCCGCTGCGGTTGTGCAAAGGTCGAACAATACATCTCCCAAAGAAAGGTGATTTGATTGACCCTATTACTTGTTTGAATACATAGTACAAGATATTTACAGGTTGTCTTACAGATCTTGTGTCATCACACTGCGCTTACAATGACATTATCTACATGGAGCAGATAGGAGCCAGAAAGGGATGTTGGGGTTGTAAACATCAATTGCTAGTTCACAAAATGATCTTTGAAGAGGCTAAAACTTACCACCGTAACCTCTCAATGTGGTGGATAGATTACAGAAAAGCCTACGATTCTGTACCTCACGAATGGATTTGGAATGTATTGACCTCCCCTAGCGACTACTTGTTTTACTGAAGTCTTTAATGAATTGCTGGTCAAGTCAACTTGAGATGTATCAGAAGAGGAATATTTCAGGGCGACTTTTTTAGTTCTTTGTTTTTTCTGTTTGTCACTAAATCCCTTAAGCCTTTTGCTCATCAAAGAGGAAGGTTTTCATTCTGGGCCTCCTCAGCACAGATGCCCAACACCCCTTACTCATCTCCACTATATGCATGACTTTGAACTTATTGCCGAAGGAGAATCCACACTAGAAAAACAGATACTCATTGTCGAGTCGTTTTCTAGTAATATTAGCATGTCCTTTTGGACTCGACAAATGCAACATTCTTCATATGAAACGTGGCAAGGTAGAGGAGGAAGGATCAATGAGTTTACTTGGGGGATGAGTTATTGACAATCTTGTGGAAGGTCAGGCCTATACATACGTTAGAGACAAAAACTCAAGGAAAAACTTCGGGCAGAGTACAAATGTAGACTTAAGAAAATCTGGAGTTCCGAGATGAACGTGTGCAATAAAGTCAAAGCCACAAATACTTATGCTGTACCCGTCCTTTCGTATTCTCTTGGTGCTGTATTTGGACGCAACAAGAAATTCAAGGTACTGATAAACTCACACGAAGAATCATGTCAGGCAACAGATCCCACCACCCTCACTTTCCCTCAATCGCTTATGTTTACCAGTTTTAATGGGAGGGCGTGGTTTGATTAACCTGGAGGCTCTTCATGATAGAATTGTATTGTGCACTTTCGCACACATTTATTTGTCTGATCCTCCTGTGAAGCATGTCAAGACTCGTGATGAAAACAAGGCATTCCACAGTTTTCTTCAACGTGCCAAGGATGTGGGACATAGTATCAATGTCAATGTTGATTTTGTTGATGGTTCTGATACTACAGGACGGTACAGAAATGACTGTCAACCAAGCGAAGTTCATTATCAAATCGGCCCAGACATCCTATGCAAGAACAATAAAACATACCACCAAATCACATCCTTTAGTTTGCACACAGTATCGCCACACACATGCTAAGCGTGTCATTCCTGATTTTGACACTTTCAAGGAAGGTCGATATATCTTTGTGGATCATTGTTTCTCCTTATTATACAGTTGTGATTTACTTGATTTCATTCATCGTTTCTGTATGAACTGGCGATGCGGCGTCTGCAACGCGTGGAGTACAGGCTACTGGCATGCTGGATACTGGCAGAGGTCAGCGTGCAGTGGCCAATCCATTCAATGTTTCACAGTCTGTTTTAGCAGATTGTGGAACAGGGACTAACAAACCCAAAATGTTGACCATCGACCCGATGGGGGGGTTCCAGGTCGACGAAGGAGTACAGGATCGATTGATCCGAAAAAAACGCTCTACGAAATCGAGCTCAAACGGCGAATCAAATTGCTGCAAACTTGCAAACTGTAGTACGAGTTACGGGTCATTCAATTAGAAATCCTCAACACGCAGTTCATCTCCATGCTCGACTGCCACGTGTTGTACCACCTCTTACAAATCATCATGTTGCCAACATACGTCAATGGTGTACAGAACGTCTAAACTGGGGTAACCATCGCTGGTCACGTGGTATGTTTTCAGAAGAGTCCCGATGCACCTTGCACTTCCTTGATAAGCGTGGATGTGTCAGGCGAGGTCGAAATGAACCTCAAGCCAATGTCAACCTGAGGATTCATGACAGATTTGGCGGGTGTTCGGTTATGGAGTGGGCTATGACTGAGCGAACCCCACTCCAACTTTGAAATTGCCCATCTTACCCCGAACGTCCTATAAGATTGTTTCAAGTCATAACATCTTCTGTCATACTTCGCTACTTGTTGTAATGTGTTCCCAATTTATTCATTATTATTACTTGAAACTAATATCAGAAGTCTCTGCTATTTGGGGTGGTGCTGGTTTCATGGTTTCTGATGGCCTTATCTGTTCTGTAAGTGGTGGATGAACAGTTTTCTTGTGTTTGAGCATCATCTAAAATAACGTCCACATGCACAACATGATACCTTCTTCTCCATGATGAAGACTGCAGGGATATATGCTTCAGACGTTTATTGACAGAGTCTTTTCATGTTTGAAAATATCGAATAACGTTTAACACGTGCTCTCGTCTCGTCATTTTACATTTGTGTATCTCACCCTTGATCCCCAGAACGACTTATTGTATCGTAGAAAATATTTTAAGAGTAGGTTGTCCTAATTTTGACTCTTCATTTTTCTTTGTTTGGTCTTTTTCATGGTTTTTCTGTCCTGTATGCAATTTTTCATTTGCTTGTCTTTTTCATTTTGGACGTACACTGGGGACAGAGAGCTGGCCTTTTCTACCCAGGTCTTTCTTCGGGTGTCTTACCCTAGGAGCTTCTTCCGCTAAATATGGTTTGAATAAATGCATTGACCAAGTTTTATAGTGGATCCGTCATAACCTTCGTCTGAAAACCAGCAGTCATTGTTATCGCAATGATATAAGAATTACTTCCAACCAAGGAGATTGACATTATTGTTCTTAATGAAATACCACTTGTTTAACTTTTTACAAAAACACAGTACTGGAAACAAACATGGGGTTCTGCTGACAGATGAGTTTCTGGAGGCAAACATGGGGTTGAGGATACAAGCATGGAATAATAGCGACTTACATTGGCTTCTGGAGAAAAACAAGGGGACCTGCCGACAGATGACATACAGGAGCAAGTATGGGGTGCTGGATACAAGCATGGTCTGCACATGGGGTTGTGTTGGTAAACACGAGATACTGAATGCGAGCATGGGTTACTTGGATTAAGCTTTGGTTTGTGAAGACTAGCAATGGGTACTGACGACAATCATTGGGTTCTTAACACAAGCAACGGGGAAAGTTGGATGTAGACAGGCGGGGGTTCAATCAAATAACGTTTTCTGTTATGTAGTTTAAACCCATTTTAAACATCGTGGCGAAGGACGAACAATGCATGACTGCCCGTTTGCCCATGTTTGTTGAACTAGAACTACATAGACGAATATCCTGTGTGCATGTCGAGTTTTATGTCAGTGAAAACCCCGGATGTAAGCATTCGTTTGACAGTGCTATAACTAACGGTGATTCAGAAACCCACGCACGGAAATGACCTTTATTCAGTGATAACAGTAACAATTCAGCAAGACAATACACGATTAATCCCTCTCCCTCTCTCCCTCTCCCTCTCTCTCCGTGTATGTGTCCCTCTCTGTGTGTTTATTACTCTCTCCCTCTCTGTCTCTCTCTGTGCCACACTCTATCAAGATCCTATGTAAATATAAATTGTCAATACAAGAAAATAACCAGTCTAGATTATCCGCCGAAAAATTTCCAATTGGCGTAGAGGACAAAATAGTTGTGACAATTACATAACCTACCAGTGTTGATTTGTTTAATGTCAGCTATATCCTTACATCTTACTCACAAGAAAGATTGTGCCCAGGGTTAAATGACATAAACTTCCGAAAACGTAAGGTAACACCGATAAAATTAGTTCTATCATTATATAAGACGCATATGAAACTAGTTTCATAATCTCAGATTTGACCAGTGTATCTTTAAGAGGGAAACGTACTGTGATAACTTTTTAGTCTTTCATGTAGAAGTTAGAATAAACACGAAACTATGTCAATCTCTGGACCCGGAAGGTATGTGAGCTCAGTGAGTACATCGACCTGCCACGACATTACTGGGACGCACATAAGCCGGGCAGAACGCCGACCCCATTTAGAAGTTACATGTGATTTGTTGACTGACAGATTCTACCTAACAAGTCACGTTGCACATGCGATGTCTCTTCATCACTATTGAACTCCTGGTAAGTATTAGTAAACATAAATGTGAATTACAACCAGGATAGAAGCAATTCATTTGAACATATATCTGTAAATGTTTCTTTAACAGGACGGCGCATGTAACATGTAGTTATATCGCTCACATGTCAGATCGACTAAATTTCTTTATTTTATTCGGGTGAGGTGGAGCATTCTTGAAATGTGTATAACTTGTATATTTGTTTATTCATGACTGGCATATTGCCGACATGGCATCAATATTAACTCACAAGAGTAACATCAAAGTTGTTTTTAATCATATTTTTATGTAAAATATGGGCAGCTAAAATGATGATGTATGATCGTAAGGGGTTATTCAAATGTCTTTCTTAAACTGACCGCCTCCGTGGTCTAGTTGTAGAGCATCCGCCCGGAGAGCGGAAGGTCCGGGGTTCGATCCACGGTCGCGTCATACCAAAAGACGTTGAAAGATGGTACTTGTTGCGTGCACGTCGCTATATGAGTGCAGCAATCTTTGCTACGCTAAACCCAATTTCACCCCTAATCACCTTTCTATATCTCTAGTGATCTCTGGTACTTCTACGCTAGCAGTACTAGTATATGGAATACGGAATATATGGATTACTAGTATCAGGTTACACAGAAACATGAGTGAGTGAGCGAGACCTGTAATTGGTTGCTATAACTACTACCGCATCATCGAGGGTTTGTACAGGGGAGCGAACTCTATTAACTAACAGATAAAGGGCACCACATTCGAAACTAAATACTTCCGTTGAATAATTAAAATACAAAATATCACTTTATCTATCTTTATTGAGGTAAATTATTAAATGCCATAATATTTACAGAAGTGATGTCGATCTCTGCACTGTGACCATGTGAATTACAGGTTTGGTTTAAGGAGGCGAACTCTAACTACTGTTTACCGAGTACTTTATCTTAAAGTAGAAATTTTACAGTTTTTCAGCCATTTCGTGACTGGAGTACACAATAAAGTAATATCATATAAAAACATGTCAGCAATGGACAGTACAATAACTAGATTATCACACATTTTATTTGATACTGGTAAAAGAGGGTTAACATGCTGCAACTTTTTTAAAAGTAAAAAATACAACTGGGCAATAGATCACCAGAAACCAAAGGTAGACTACCATACTAGGGACCATGGGGATTACGGTACCTCTTCAATCTGCATGGTATTCCGGCAAAATGGTATACGAATTAAATAATATCAGAAGGCAGAAGCCAAATGTTAATTACTTTCTCTGCGAATTGTTTTTCTCAATAGTCATACTTAGTAAATGATATAAAACAGGAAACAGCTTGACATGTTGCAGTACACAGACTGTGACGGTTGTATTAATCTGTGTCCCTTGGTCATACCCAAGTACTTGTAGGTTTGAATCTCAGACTTTCCCTTGTCATAATCATTGGTTTGTGAAAACCAGACAAGCGCCTGTTGGTCTAAATAAGTTGTAAATATCTACAACCCGCTCCTTTTCAGACTTCAGACTTAGCCACGATGTTGTTATGTAAAATGGAGACATGTAAAATGTGGTATTAAACCCAGCTCATATATTTAGCTTTGTTGAGACGCCTCATGACTTAGAGGGTAAAACAAATAACTCTTCTCCATATCACACACAAACACTCTTATAACAAATAATGTTATTGTTAAGGTCATTGATATCTAACTGTTAATAAATACTTGTGAGTGATCCCCGGCTATTAATGATTGTACAAGAAGTTCAGGTAGGAACATTTATAAAATTTTAAAAAATGCAAACAGATTCATTCCTTATTTTGCTATTCACAGGTAACAATGTCTGACTTCATCGCTGTATCAGCCCTCAAGAACTACCTGACTGAGTGCCCTATCTGCAAAGAACAGTTTGATGAGGCCTCCCATCTCCCCCGCCGAATAACATGCTGTGTACAGTGCATATGTCATGACTGTCTCCAGAAGATCTACAAGGAAACAGACAAGACGTTGCTTTGTCCAATCAGTCGCCACAATCATCATCTTCCCGGTGGAGTTGAGTCTCTCTCAAGCGAACCCCTCATCCTAAAAATCATTGATGACTTCAAGATCCACAAAGGTCTCCGCTTGCCATGTACAGATTGTCCGGACAACAACGAGGCTGTGGCCAGATGTGATGACTGCTGTGTCTTCATGTGCACAGAGTGTAAAACATCACATGGCCGACACAGGTTATCTAGACATCACACGACAGTTACCTTTGAGGAGATGAAAGGTCGACCTGTCCAGAGCTTTCGTCGTTTACATGAATGTAGTCAGCATCAACAGACACAGCAATTTTACTGTTACACTTGTGACAAGATCATATGCGTGTCCTGCACTGTGCTTGATCACGATAAAGGAAATGGACACAACGTTGTATCTGTGGCCGAGGCACACCAGGAAAAGGCAAAATCTACTGATAAAACTTTGGCGAGACTCGAAGAGAAGAAAAACAAAATTTCTAAAACAAACACAGAACTGACGAAAAAGTTAAAAACCATCATGGTATCAACAGAAGCTGCTAAGCAGGACATCAATCAGACCTTTGACAACCTGATTGATCAGATACAGGAAAGAAGAGCCATTCTGTTGTCAGATGTTGAGGAGAAATCCACCAACTCACGTAAACAAACAGAAGAGGCCCAGGAGTCAACCCGGACATTGCTGACTAAACTGAAGTCTTCCACTGAATATACAAAACAGATGAGGGGGAAAGCTGACCAGATAGAGGATCTACAACTGATGTTGTCTTCTGTCGGCTCCTTTAACACCTTGTTGGAGGAGTCACCAAAGGAAGTTGGGTTCTTTAGAACAGGTGTCAGTTTTGTCTCTGCCAACTTAGATCATCTTATCACCACTATCAAGTCGACAGTACTGGTGAGGTCTATCACATACTCCCCGACTCAGAGGCCAAACACTATACCAGAGACTGCCATGTATAATATCATCACTCTGGAACCTTCAGTGTTACCTGAAGGTAGGTTGAAGATGCTTATAATGAAAGTCACTCACCGCAAACAGTGTAACTTTAGTGACATTGTATGTCCATATTAATGAAAAATATTAATATTAATTTGAAAAATGATTTAATGTTATAATGTAGCCCCAATGTGGAAATATATGCAGGCATTTCAAAACCATCTTTAAATCAAATTTTGAATTCACCATTCGATAACAGTTTTTAATTTTTAGTTCATGAGAAACAGTCAATGATATTGGTACAAAAAATGTTTATATTGATTGTTGTCGCCAGTTGGTTGGGGGATGGTGGGGTATCCTATTGGTTAGAGCGTTCGTCACGCCGAAGGCCCGGTTTTGAATCCCCACGTGGGTGCAATGTGTGAAACCCCAAACCACCTACTCACTCACTCACCCAGGAGTTGATCTAACATTTTGAAATGTAAGAATATAAATTCGTAAGTTATCTGCAAAACTGTCGATATATAAACTAATAGTTTAGATAAGTGGTCCGGGATGTTTGATGTCTTTGATTTTGACATATATAGCAACAGTATTTGTTTGTCCAAATTTATAAGGTGGTTATTTATTTTCAGTGGCTGATGTTGACAAGAGAATTATTTCTGGAAATGATGAAGTTGTTAGATGTGAGTTGTTTTAGAAGAGCACACATACAGAACTCGCACGCACATACGTAGACACAGAAATTGCATACAGCAATTAACTTTGTCAAGGAACCACATATTAAAAGAATAATGTTGATTAATATGTACCCTTTAAAACACGTGACGCACATTACACTCTCAGTGTTCACGTTTTTTCTTTCTTACCAGGTAGTGAGTGGTTTAACGATACTTGACCGTGTTGACTGCACGGAAGAGTTTTCAATCCGAGTAACGGTATTCTCGCCGATTCCTCATGGCAACATGTTATAAGAAATAACACATCCACGTCGTACATTTAATTATGTAGTTACTATCCAAGTACTATTGTCGATGTCTTTCCATAAATTGTTGTAATTCATATTATCGTTGTGTGTCATCAGATGTATCAGGGACATATTTTGCGTTGTTCACCTTCAATTGTGGCAAACGTCTTTTCTTGTCTTACAAATAACCACATCATTCATGCTTTGGGTATTACTTTCATCTTTTACAGGGTACTTAATGAACAAAGCAAATATGTCCCGATATGTAAGCAGATAAAGTGACAAAACCCTTTCCATATCTGATAGAAATCTCATGCAAAGTACAATTCGATAGTACAATTCCGACTATATCGTAAGCATGTGTTTATGAATCACTACCAAATAGTGATGATACCAGGTGTTCGCGAAAAGGTAAGCGTAACAGCCCCACCAGTGGCACCCATCACAAACACATGCAAATGCAAGTCAGTGGTTCACCTGAAAAAAACACGGGTACAAGTTAAAATAGGGAATTGCATAGGGCATCAATTTTGTCACTGATATGGATACTTGACTATTGGAAAGTTGAAGTCGTTGGATTTTTGATCGTCTCTATCAACGAGACCAACTGTTATCATCTGATGGCATTTCTTCACGTATGACCATGAGTTAGTACAGAGTAAAACATAGTAACGCGGCGGTAGAGCAATGAAACACTTCGAGGGGCAATTCGATTATATTTTACCAGGTAGGGTCCGGGGTTCGATTCCAGGCCGCGTCATACCAAAAAAACGTTAAAATATGGTACTTGTTCTTACCCTGTCTGGCGCTCGACATTAAGGGGCTAAAACAAGGACTGCTCGGCTCGGAGTCAGTATACTGTGTCTGAGTGGGGTATTCATGTTAAACTGCGGCATGGTATCTCAGTGAGCTAGCACTATAAATCGGCATCAGTCCGGACTAGTACAAGCAGCCACACGCACAGACACACGTACATGCACGTCGCTATATAAGTGCAATAATCTTGGACGCGACGTTAACCCCAATTTCACCTCACCTCTTACCAGGTAGTGAGTGGTTTAACGATTATATTTTGCAATGACTCAACATCTAAATGTCGATTTAATCTCACAAAAGTACACTTGTTGAAACATCTTTCCAGTGAACCACACTATATGCCACATTTCATGAAACAGTTTATCTTCAATATTGTTTTACCTACATATGCGTGTTATCGATTGAACGATATTTAAAGAAAGTAGATTCTTCATTAAATTCTGGAAATGGAATTGTTGATTGGAACAGATACTTTCTATGGCTGTAGAAATGAGGTTGTATGGTTTAAGAACTGTTATGTACATGAGTACTTCACGCTGGTTCACATGTATGTCACTGTGGCTGCTACTTTGGTTGTTGCCCTTGTCTTCAATTATATGACTTGTTTACGGTCTAACTGTATATTTGGTTAGTTATCAACGACTCTCTATATCATGTCTCGTTTACAGGTTATGTCGTGGCTTTAGTGACATAAACGTTGAACTACAATGTTCACCTTTTTGGAGTGGAGGACGGGTGTTAAGAGTTATTTTGTTACCTTGAGGCAGATCTGACTCTTTTAACTGTTAGTAATCCATAAGACGTACCATTTTAATTCATCAAGTGTTTATATTCCCTCAAAAAGTTTGTTTCTAACACAGGTCCGACCCTGGAGTGGGACTCCAACACAGCCAGCGGTGAAGTCACTATATCCGGGTCTGTAATCACTAATTCCAGGCCAGATCCTCCTCAACCAGACACCGGGTGTCGGATGCATTCAGGGAGACGTGTACTGGCGTCACGGCCTCTGGTCATCAGGCGTGGCCATCGTGACATGTTTCATGTTACGTGTCGATTCACAGTGAGACGGGTGACAGAGGAAAATATGATGATATTTGAGACAGCACTGGTCTCTTCCCCTGTAGATACACCCTGGTGTCAACAAGCCGGTTTGAGCGTATGTGTTGCAACATGCACCAATCACAAGCAGCACCTGTGTCTCAAGGTGAGATATGACAACAGACTCCTCACTGATTCCTGCCTCACTAAGAACCAGATTGGGGAGTCACGTGACTTACACTTATGTTTCTTACTGGACGGGACAAAGGGGAAACTCTACGTTGTTGATGTTGTTGCGGTCAAAGTGATCTGCAAGGTCAATGATGCTGCATTTGACAGGCCACTGTGGGTCATGGTGTCTGTAGATATACCCAAGGTCTCAGACATGAGAGTAGAACTAATATCCGGCCACGATACGACTGTGTCTGATGGGGTGTCTCGACTGTTGTTATCACTTGACTAAAAGTTCTACTGACATTTTAACGAACACCGCACCCAGTACCACATTTAACTACATCATGAAGAAAAGTATGCCGACTGCATGTGTCATACAATGGGAAGTTATCTATGCTGACTTTATGTGACACACAACAGGAAGTAATGTATACCGACTTCATGTGACACACAACAGGAAGTAATGTATACCGACTTTATGAGACACACAACAGGAAGTAATGTATACCGACTTCATGTGACACACAACAGGAAGTAATGTATACCGACTTCATGTGTCACACATCAGGAAGTAATGTATACCGACTTCATGTGACACACAACAGGAACTCATGTATACCGACTTCATGTGACACACAACAGGAAGTAATGTATACCGACTTCATGTGACACACAACAGGAAGTAATGTATACCGACTTCATGTGACACACAACAGGAAGTAAAGTATACCGACTTCATGTGACACACAACAGGAAGTAATGTGTACCGACTTCATGTGACACACAACAGGAAGTAATGTACACCGACTTCATGTGACACACAACAGGAAGTAATGTATACCGACTTCATGTGACACACAACAGGAAGTAATGTATACCGACTTCATGTGACACACAACAGGAAGTAATGTATACTGACTACACGGGACACATGTCGAGGGCTCAGCGGAAACCTTCGTATATGAAGAGTAAAAATGTGTGAATAAAAGCAACAAGACCCTTTTCCATGGCCACCAAAAATATCTGTTGAAAGCAGACTAGAATGTACGGTTCTGACTGTATCATGAGCATGTGTTGATGAATCACTATCAAATCGTGATGAAAGCATATGTTCGAGAAAAGGTGAACGTTTCCTGCCCAACTAGTGGCACCCGTCAGAAACACATGCAAAGGCAAGACAATTGGTCACCTGAAAAAACACGGGAACATATGGTACAAGTCAAGATAGGGAATTGCATCGGACATCATGTTTGGGGATGATGCGTCAAATTTAGAAATGTCCTCCACAGGTCACTTTAAAGGCTTTTGAAAGCTTTACTGGGGCCTTGAATAATGTCGCCTTATTAAAAACAACTTTTGAGCAAGAGCCATGTGACGCTCTTTGAAATCTTCATAAAAAGAACATGCTCGATTGTACCTTAAATGGTTTAGTTTTATTAAAACCCTGAAATGCATGACATTTGTCAGAAAGTTTACCGCAATGCTGAGAGGGAGACGATGAGGCTGCCAACCCTAATTTGGTAAGCGGGATTCGGGGATATACGCCACAACATTCTTGACACATTCGTGACCAACTCGTGCCATTCCGGGAAAAGACGTGCCCATATTGTGGGTTCAATATTGGCATATGAACACAAGAGCTACTTCAAACAAGAAGGATAATTCTTAATGTACCCGCTTCTTGCAGTAAAATGTAGGCGTTACAGCAGCGCTCGCTTATTCCTGTTGCCAAAGTATTGAACCTCTCTGTAATAAATATCGATTCTTTCATTGAAAGTTATATATTTGGCAAGCACTTACACTCATTCATTCACAGATATCATGGCCAAGGTGTAATAAATAGTGTACACATGTTATATATGTTCATTACATTAACTTCATGAAGGAATGCCATATCGACCATGTCTAAGAAATGCATGGAAGTATTTCGAATTATATACAAACAACATAGCATGACCATTTAATATACAACCCCAGTGGAGATTCCCAAGTAGCCTTCGCTTGTCGTTATGGGTGGGGCGGTCAGGTTCGGTGAATTGGTGAAATTGTACCCCGACGGAGTGGATCGTTATGACAATATCAGTTACTGGTTTGTCTGGTCAAGTCTCGATTATGTACTCAAGTAAGGACATGTAGCTGAATACAAAATATATGCTGCATATAAAATACAATAGCTTTGGTATAGTTGGTACTTAACTGAAGAAATTGTTTTGGAATAATATAGTCCCTTACAGGTTTAGTGAAGCAGAATATACGTACGTTACCCATTAAGGTTGTCTTAAAAACCCTAAGATGTATTACCTTAGTTTTCCATTAACAATTTCAGTAAGTACTTAATGCTGATATTTATACGACAGCGTCTTGTTGGTGTGCTTTTTATCAAAGCGAGAGTTTTCTTTTATAAAAATTTCGAAATAATTCGTTTGAATATTGTGTATGATTTGTAGTATATCAACCATCGTATAGTTGAGGAATCGGGGTTTTTTGCAAACAGCTTGTATTGCTTTGTTCAGTCGTCTGTTGGTAATAGTTAAGTGAAATACATTAAATTATCTTAACAGCTATTTTACCGTCCTTGGTCAAAGGGTTTTAGCATGACCACCCGATCCCGTTAGTCGCCTTTCACGACAAGTATTGGTTGCTGAAGACCTATTCTACCCCGGAATCTTCACGGGTCTGCAACCTATTGACGTAGGGCAGTCAGACATTGGAATATTGTCTTCGATTTATCTTGCAAACACCAAGGAGGACAAACTTGAGCTTGAGTTATCTCAACAGTGCAACTTGCCTTTTTTTATATATTGTTTGCTTGTTTCTTGTTGAAAGCCACACAAAGCATTGTTCTAGCAATATGACGGAAGAAATCGAGTCTGGACCAGATAAGCTAGTGACTGATATTATCAGCAACTGTGCATGCTGTTGAGGTTATTTTAGTTATTTGTTTAATTTTTCGATATTTCGTGTTTTTTCTCGTCACTTCAATTATATATTCGTAATTTCGGATATATTTTCGTTATTTCAAATTTATTTTAAACCTCGAAATTTCGAATTTGTTCTTCTTGCCTCAATTATTTTCTCGATATTTGAATTATTTTCTAGAAATTTCAATTATTTTCGCGATATTTCAATTTCTCTCTCCTTTCGTCGAGCATTTTCTCGTAATTTCGAGTTTTTTTTGTTATTTCAAATTTATTTAGGAAACTCGAAATTTCGAATGTTTTCTCGTTACTTGGATTTTCTCGTAGTTTCGATTATTTCGATTCATTAACCCAGCTCCGACTGTCATCTCAGACCATAAACGAACGTCCCTTTTGTGCAAAATCTAATCTTTTGTTTGACCACAATGTAAAATTTCGACACACATAATATTGAGTAATCTGACTGTTGTAACGTCACATAACACTTATTCTCAATGGTTGTTTATGATCCGCTACAGACTTATTATGATTCATTATTAGTAATTAACGCAAAACTAAAATGTATGCAGTCACATATCCTAAAGTGACATACATAGCGGGTAAGGGTCTCTGCATGTAACTGTTGAAAGAGGTCCTTCAAGTGGAGGTATTTATCACAAGCGACCTACTTTATTGAAACGTACGCGCCTCACACGCAACACTTAGTGATTGTTTGGATTGACGGGCACCTAGCGCCGTGCTGGTGGCGTGATCGAGCTAACTGTCTAAGTGTTTGCTTTAAATATTATTAACTGTGACATTACTACTTGTTCTAAACATCTTGACACATTATTTGTTAATAATGACGACCTCTATCCAGGAACGATATGTGTAAATAATAACGTTGATTAATATGAACTCTTTAAATTATGTGAGGCATATGTACTTTAATTAGACAAATTAAAGACTGTGATGGCTCTGGAGGTTACATTAACGGCATGGGGTCATCTAAGTAATTTGATCAAATCTCAAAATATGACGCGTGGTAAAGAAAAATACATAATATCACACGTCACTGTCAGTACGAATTGTGAAATAACGAGTCTGGAAACGATTTTATAAACAACGTGTAAAAAACCAGTATCTGGTGAGACGAGTGTGTCAATCCAACTACAGCCAAATATTAAGTACATAATTATAAAAAATGTCTGACTGATTTATTCTTTATTCCGCTATTCACAGGTAACAATGTCTGAATTCATCGCTGTGTCAGCCATCAAGAACTACCTGACCGAGTGCCCAATCTGCAATGAACAGTTTGATGAGGCCTCCCATCTCCCCCGCCGAATGACATGATGTGTACAGTGCATATGTCATGACTGTCTCCAGAAGATCTACAAGGAAACAGACAAGACGTTGCTTTGTCCAATCAGTCGCCACAATCATCATCTTCCTAATGGAGTCGAGTCTCTTCCAAGTGAACCTCTCATTCTGAAAATCCTTGATGATCTGAAGATCCACAAAGGTCTCCGCTTGCCATGTACAGATTGTCCGGACAACAACGAGGCTGTGGCCAGATGTTATGACTTCTGTGTGTTCATGTGCACAGAGTGTAAAACTTCACATGACCGACACAGATTATCTAGACTCCACACGACAGTTACCTTTGAGGAGATGAAAGGCCGACCTGTCCAGAGCTTTCGTCGTTTACATGAATGTAGTCAGCATCAACAGCCACGGCAATTTTACTGCTACACTTGTGACAAGATCATATGCGTGTCCTGCACTGTGCTGGACCACGATAAAGGGAAGGGACATAAGGTTGTATCTGTGGCCGAGGCACACCAGGACAAGGCACAGTCTACTGATGACACTTTGGCCAGACTCGAAGTGAAGACAAACAAGCTCTCAGAAACAGAAACGGAACTGACGAAAATATTTCAAACCATCATGGTATCAACAGAAGCTGCTAAGCAGGACATCAATCAGACTTTTGACAACCTGATTGATAACATACAGGAAAGAAGAGCCATTCTGTTGTCAGATGTTGAGCAGAAATCCACCAAATCACGTAAACTAACAGAAGAGGCCAAGGAGTCAACCCGAACATTGCTGACTAAACTAAAGTCTTCCACTGTATATACAAAACAGATGAGGGGGAAGGCTGACCAGATAGAGGATCTACAACTGATGTTGTCTTCTGCCGACTCCTTGAACACCTTGTTGGAAGAGTCGGCAAAGGAAGTTGGGCTCTTCAGAACAGGTGTCAGTTTTGTCCGAGCCAACTTCAACCACCTCATCACTTCCGTTAAGTCGACAGGATTGGTCAGGTCTGTCACATTCTCCCCAACACAGAGGCCGAGCTATGTGCCAGAGGCTGAAATGTATAACACCATCACCCTGGAACCTGCAGAGTTACCTGAAGGTTGGTTTGATATGCATTTTTGTGTCATTTTTGTGAATGACCATTTGGAAAAACTCATCTTGAATATGCGAAAAATTATTCCTATATGCAAACAGACATTTTAAAACATATTTTCACACAATTACACTTTTCAGTGCAATTATTATAAATCTTGATAAACAGCTTGTGTCTTTATGAGAAACAAATTATTTATTTTCAATGCTGTCGCTTGAAGATAGATCAAACATGTTTTAATTTGAGAATGTTCATCTATTATTTCTTTCTGAAAAATTTCCGTAAATGCAGAGATTGTTATGTTGTGTGTCTATACCTTTTCAACTCTTTTGTAATGCGTCCCTAATGAAGGTGATCATGTTTTGTTTCATAATAGTTTTTAGAAACAAAATCAACTATTTTTTAAACACCTATCAGATATGTTATCTCCTGTGAATACCATTTGTTTGTGGTATCATATACTGGGGTTATTTACTTTCAGTGGCTGACGTAGACGAAAGAATTTCTGGAAATGAAGAACAGGTTACATGTGAGTTGTTTAAGAACGATACACATGCAGAACGCAATGCACGTATGCACACATGCACACATGCGTAAACATCTGGTATCATGCTTATGAATATGTATTTAGATAGGACGACCATGGATTTCACACCCGCAAGTGCCATTATGCATGAAACTGTCAAGATCCTTTTATCGCGTTTGCGCACATTCGATTAAAGGATATGTTAAAGAAATCGGATTCTTATATATATTCTGAAAAGTGCAATTGCATTTTAGAATGGATGTTTTCGATGATTGTTGCTGTGTCCAACTAGGCGCTTAAAGAACTGCTTGTCTACATATGTTACTTCGGCTGCTTTGGGGGTTATAGACCTCGTCTGCAGTTATGTAACTTACTCTACGTGGTGGTTATACATTGCTTTTTGCCTAAATGTATATTTGGTAAGTTACAGATGATTATCTCATTTACAGGTGAAGTCATTACTTTAGTGAGATACATGTTGAACTATAATGTTAGGCAAACGTTTTCCTTTTTAGACAGATCATTACATTCCATCAAAAAGTGTGTTTCGACCCACAGGTCCGACCCTGCAGTGGGACTCCAACACAGCCAGCTATGACGTCACTACATCAGGATCTGTACTCACTAACACCAGGCCAGATCCTCCTCAACCAGACACCGGATGTCGGATACATTCAGGGAAACGTGTACTGGCGTCACGGCCTCTGGTCATCAGGCGAGGTCAGCGATGCATGTTTCCTGTTAAGTGTCGATTCCCAATGAAGCAGATGAAAGAGGAAAATCACATGGTAGCTGAGACAGCACTGACCCCCTCCCCTGTAGATACTCGCAGGAGTCAACCTATTGGACTGAGTGTACATGTTGTAACATGCACCTAGCACAAGTCGCAGCTGTGTCTCAATGTGAGATATAACGACAAACTCCTCACTGACTTCCCACTTTGCAAGAACCAGATTGGAGAGTCGAATGATTTACACTTGTGTTTCTTCCTGAACGGTACAAAGGAGAAAATCTACGTTGTTGGTGTTGTTGCAGTCAAAGTTATCTACACAGTCAATGATGCTGCTTTTGACATGCCACTGTGGGTCATGATGTACGCAGGTCATATCAGCCATTCAGACATGAGAGGAGAACTGATATCCGGCCACGATATGACTGTGTCGGACGGGATGTCTCGACTGTTGTTGTCACTTGACTAAAACTACCACATGTCAACACACACCGCAACAAATCAGAACAGGAAATAACGTGTCGTACATGTGACATACGACATAAAAGTAAAATACACCGACTGCATGTGACACACCACAGAAAGTAAAGTATACTGACCTCACGTGGCACACGACAGGAAGTAAAATATACTGACTGCACGTGGCACATGGCAGAAAGTAAAGTATACTGACTGCACGTGGCACACGACTAGAAGTAAAATATACCGACTGCATGTGACACACTACAGAAAGTAAAGTATACTGACTGCACGTGGCACACGACAGGAAGTAAAATATACCGACTGCATATGACACACTACGGAAAATAAAGTATACTTACTCATGTGACACACTACAGAAAGTAAAGTATACCGACTGCACGTGGCACACGACAGGACGTAGAATATACTGACTGCATGTGACACACTACAGGAAAGTAAAGTATACTGACTGCACGTGGCACATGACAGGAAGTAAAGTATACTGACTGCACGTGGCACACGACAGGAAGTAAAATATACCGACTGCATGTGACACACTACAGAAAGTAAAGTATACTGACTGCGCGTGGCACACGACAGGAAGTAAAGCATACCGACTGCATGTACCACACTACAGAAAGTAAAGTATACTGACAGCACGTGGCACATGACAGGAAGTAAAGTATACCGACTGCACGTGGCACACGACAGGAAGTAAAATATACTGACTGCATGTACCACACTACAGAAAGTAAAGTATACTGACTGCACGTGGCACACGACAGGAAATAAAATATACCGACTGCATGTACCACACTACAGAAAGTAAAGTATACTGACATCACGTGGCACACGACAGGAAGTAAAATATACCGACTGCATGTACCACACGACAGAAAGTAAAGTATACTGACTGCACGTGGCACACGACAGAAAGTAAAGTATACCGACTGCATATGACACACGACAGGAAGTAAAATATACCGACTGCATGTACCACACTACAGAAAGTAAAGTATACTGACCTCACGTGACACACTACAGAAAGTAAAGTATACTGACTGCACGTGGCACACGACAGGAAGTAAAGGATACCGACTGCATATGACACACTACAGAAAGTAAAATATACCGACTGCATGTGACACACTACAGAAAGTAACGTATACTGACTGCACGTGGCGCACGACAGGAAGTAAAGTATACCGACTGCATATGACACACTACAGAAAGTAAAGTATACTGACTGCATGTGACACACTACAGAAAGTAAAGTATACTGACTGCACGTGGCGCACGACAGGAAGTAAAGTATACCGACTGCATATGACACACTACAGAAAGTAAAGTATACTGACTGCATGTGACACACTACAGAAAGTAAAGTATACCCACTGCATATGACACACTACAGAAAGTAAAGTATACTGACTGCACGTGGCACACGACAGGAAGTAAAATATACCGACTGCATGTACCACACTACAGAAAGTAAAGTATACTGACTGTATGTGACACACGACAGGAAGTAAAATATACTGACTGCACGTGGCACACGACAAGAAGTAAAATATACTGACTGCATGTGACACAATACAGAAAGTAAAGTATACCGACTGCATGTGTCAGGGTGTTTATGGCGTAGGATCCGCTCAGTGTAGGTATGAAGAGATGCCGAAATATTTAGAGAAATATATGCCCTTGGACGTGGTTCACTCACTACATGTGTTATTGGCATTTGATATATTTAGTGCCATCGTTAAAATATGTCTAGCATGTCTATTTATTTCAATATCCAACGGATAGGAATGGGTTATCTTAGGTCAGCTAACACCTGCCATCTGACATGATGTAAGATGATTTTAATAGCATCTAGTAGATTCGGTATTTCAGTGTATATGAGTAGACACTCAATTGAATGGAGATTTATGAAGCAAATCTTTCTATATATATAGGTTATATAATGGGGTTTTTTCATTAAATTATCAGTGAGAATAGTTGTTAAGCAATTAAGATATTAACTGAACCACATTGCAACTAAATGCAATTCTGGCTACTATGTTTAATATGAATGGATATTGTTGAGGTCAGTGAGGTCATTATTTTGACTGTTCATTTTTAGACTGAAGTCCTAACTAGAGACACGTAAAAAAACGTGTCAGAATAGGTCTTCAGCAACCCATGTGTGCCGTAAAAGGTGACTATGCTTGTCGTAAGAGGCGACTAACGGGATCGGGTTGTCATGCTCGCTGACTTGGTTGATGCATGTCATCGTATCCCAATTGCGTAGATCGACGTGCATTATATTACTGGATTGTCTGGTCCAGACTCGATTATTTACTGACCGCCGTCTAAAGCTGGACTATTTCTGAGTGCGGCGTTAAACAACAAACAAACAAACAAATCCTAACCAGAATGAGAACTGGTTAAAAGAAGGAAAAGTCACAATCTTGATACATTTAGGCCTATCGAAAAGAGATAAGGGATTGAATGAGAGTGATCAGGAATCATCTCATGTGGTGGTCACATTGCAAAACATCGGTTGCGGAATACGTGCGCAGCAGCTATGGGAAACTCTGTCAAATGCAGCGGAATAACCTCGGCTGCATCCGTCAAAAGCCGATCATAGATAATTGACAACACCTTATCCAGACAGAAACGGCGTGCGAGAAATGGCGGCGACAACCAACACGGGACTTAATTTCTTTTGGGCAGTCTTGACAAGAATACATTAAATACGTGGCATCGTGCAGCCATTATTCATATGCATCAGAATTTGTTATCTAACGTTCGAGACGTGTTTCTTTTGGTCTCAGTTATCGCAACTAAATGGGCTGTGGTCAAATATGCTCTCCGAACACGCTGGGTATGTCTGACATCTCGCCCATCCGTTCACTGCATCAGGTAGTGGTATCTGTTATTAAATTAAGAAGCCACAGACGAATTGCCGACTGTTGACATTGTCTGATATATTTTTTTTATATCAACAATTATTGGACAAATACGGGATCTAGCTTTAAGACGTGAACAGTGAATGAAATTATAAGTGAAGTCATTTATCTAGCTCTATGACTGATACGATTTCCATTCGACTCCCATCAAAATAATGCATAAAAATTACATTTTTGCCGAAGATGAATAATTTGTATTGAAGTGAAATATTTTATTTACGTTCAATGTGCATTAATTTCTGTTGTGATTTAAATGCATACCCCTGTTAAGAAGATAGTTACTTCATTTATGTCACATTGTAAAATATTCCTTCCCACTTAGTAGATATTCACAAGATATTGCTTACATTAATTACGATAATGCTTCTTTTTATTCAAATAGATCGGAGGGCCTGGATAAGTGCATTCAGAAAACATGTGGCATGAATGTGTCACCCATGCATCGCCTTGTGACGTAAAAAAATAATTTGAAAGTGTTAAATTTGTAACTGCAGCGTTTGCTATCTTACAGTATGTGAGCATTGGTGTCAGGGAATTGGTGGCCGTACTATTTTTCTCTCTTGTAATCTAATGACACTCTTAAACCATGTAATGACTGGATGTATGTTGTCTCTCCTATGTTCACTACCATATTATTGTACTGAATGTGTTTTTGTATTTTTTATTTGCAAATATTATGGGCATTTATATCTACAGTCAGATAAATCCCATGTATTTGTGGTCGTTTTTGCCTCGTCAATAATTGTAGTTGCTTGTTGTGAATCTTGGATATCTTATGTTCAGCACTTCAATCACGGGTTTTCTTGTTGTCCCCGTCAGTTGGATTACCCGACGGTCTAGGAGAGGGTGTTCTCTCCTAGGTCCGCGCGCGGGGTATGTATAGACTTTCTAGATCTCGTATCTTCTCCCTCCAGACTTCCGTAAATCGTTCACGATTGTCTCGCTACTGGAGTGGTCACGGTCGAAACTCAGGTTTCGTCAGTAAGTGGGTTCTGGGTTTGTCGATCTAGATTCTGACTTAGTCTTGTTGAACTAAACTAAACGTAGTTACTAGGGTTTGTAATACTATGTTTTGCTTGTAAGCCGTTATTGAGACGTAATCGTTTATTTTGTAGTCTAAGTGACTCATTTTAGGGATAAGCTCTCTCGGTATTAAGTTCCCCTTTAATTTACATCACAAGGGGTACAAAACGGAGGATCCTCACCTTTCAATAGATATTCATGGGTATATCTGCTGTGGCCAATATGACATCGTCGCATAATGACCTCTTGAAATCTGGACTGACAGCCCAAGAATGTATATCTTATAATTGGTATAATTTCATGTAATTTATTTATACCTACTTGGGTGTCCCACTTCTTTTGCATTAGATCTCGAATGTAAGATATCATCACGGGTTTATAGCCAGTGTAAGGGATCAGAATTGGTGTCACAGATATGTTGAGTACTGCTTTTGCAGCAGCAGCAGCCAATGTGTTACCAATGATACCAACATGGCTTGGTAACCAACAAAAGACGATGTCATATTGGCCAGGAGCAAGATCATTAAATAACTCAATTATTTCAATTAAAAATGGATGTTTACATGACATATTTTTAATAGCCTGAAGGCATGAAAGTGAATCTGACAAAATAATGAATTGTTTATATTTGGAATGTTTCTTGATATATTTTAGTGCTGTTAAAATTGCATTTGCTTCTGCTGTGAATTTTGAACTGTTGTCTGGAAGTCGTGAAGATACTGTTCTGGATCCAATGACAGTGGCACTAACAACTGCGTCACCATCCTTGGATCCATCTGTAAATATAGATTTATAAGTGTCATAAGTATTTCGTAATTGATTGTATTCTTGTTTATAAATTAGTGGATTTGTATCAGATTTCTAAAGTCTAGTTAATGTGAGATCTACATTTGGCCTTACCATTTGCCAAGGAGGCGATGAAAAAGTTGTATGGGAGGTATGTCCTGAAAGTTAATCTTAGCAGCAGAAACGACATATTTAATTCTTATTCCAAGTTGTGGAACAAGAGATGTTTTCTTATTGTAAATATCTTGGTAAAGACGATTAAATACGCAATTAAAAGCTGGATTTGACTGATTGGAATATAATTTAGAGATCGATTGTAAAGATAATTTCAGACCGCATTGTTTAAGAGAAGGCTCATCCGCTTCTACATACATACTGTGAATGGGAGAAGTTCTAAAGGCTCCAAGGCAAAGCCTCAGGCTCTGATGATGGATAGTATCTAGTTTTTTAAAATTACTTTTGCAGGCTCCACCATAGATAATGGAGCAGTAATCGAGTTTTGAACGGATGAGTGACCTGTACAAGTGTAAGAGGGTTGTTTGATCCCCTCCCCACTTAGAATTGGAAACTACTTTCAAAACTCAAGTGCCTTCAGACATTTAGCTTTAAGGTAATTAACAGGCGGAAGGAATGTTAAATGGCTATCGAAAATATGGCCTCCTTTACAAGTTTCATAGGGATGCCATTCAAAAATAGTTCAGGGTCCTTATGTGGCTTACATATTCTGCAGACAGTTAGTTTTTAATTTAGAAAATTTAAACCCGTTTTCAAGGGACCATTTATGAATTTTATTGATACAGATTTGTAACTGCCTCTCTATTGTATGCATATTTTTTCCACGACAAGGAACTTTAAAATCATCAACGAAAAGTGATCCATCTACTGAATCACTCAATAACCTTTAAAGACTATTAATTTTTATACTAAATAAAGTGACAGACAAAACACTGTCTTATGGGACACCCTGATTCTGATGATAATGATCAGACAGGGTGGAACCCAAACGGACATGAAAGTGTCTGTCAGTTAAAATCTTGGAAACAAATTGAGGCAAACGGTCTCTCAATCCAAAATGATGTAAATCTTTTAAAATCCCATCACAAGGGAATATTCCAACATGTCCAAAATATACAATTTTGTATATTTGGTATATCCAAAAATGTACAATTTTTTATATTTGGTATATCCAAAAATATACAATTTTGTATATATGGATAGATTTTACCACGGCTTCATTGAGTTTCTTCTTACGTTATACAGGGATTCTTACTATATGTTGTTGTTATTGAAAATATTACTAATGATACCGGAGAGTATTATTGTATGTGACAATAATATTTTAATACTATTTTCATTATGACAACTATATTTGGAGTGTTATGAAATAATTTGTATTCATTTATGTTGACAGTATTTTACACAATAAAGAAATAGAACATTTGAGCAAACTTTTCTAACAGTTAGATCAATAATATATTTAATACGTACGCCACCTCTTTACAAGTAAGATGACAGATCTATACACATACAAGTAGTTCAGAGTAGTTTTAAACAATGACGGTAAAATAAATATACCATTAATACCGGTAAATATGAATATATACAATTTAATATATATGTTTCTGTTATTTCATGTTATGGTGATTCTAAGTTTAAATAATTGCTTGATATCTTTTTACAAACAGTTGTATGCACTGTCCATTGTGATACTTCTACTTAAGTATATGAAAAAGTATGTTCGTTTAGTCATTCGACATGCGTTCATTGTAAACAAGGATGAGTGTGACAGGATTACTAAGTTTGTCATCTAGTATAATGCACTTCCTCGAATAGCATAATTGGAAGAGAGTTTGTAATTAGTTATATCCGGAATCCAATTAACTAAGGCAGCTGGCATCAGTGGAGAGTGTGAGCAGCTGGAGAAAAGGCGAGTAACTCAATGTGATTAATTAATTTGTGGAATTTTAATAACACACAGAATCGCAGATGTTTCTATCGTACATTTGAGGGTGAATGTGAACGAAGCCGTGCAGAATGCCTTACAGCGACTTGTCTTCTGAACACACAGTGAGCTCAGGTAAATTTATTAATGATGATATTTTCATTCATTCGTGCAATAGATGTTTCTATCATGAGCGCTGACTCTATATGTGTTCGAAATAGAACATTTTGAAGAAATAACACTTACTTACAAGACTAGTACACAACAAAGCCATTAAGTGAATATTAAAAAAATTGATTCACAATATGACAACATCAAATCCTATATTTGTTTAATGCAACAGGTTAAAAGCATTCAAAATTGTACAATCATTATTATAAAACACAGCATGTTTATATATGTGTGTCGCTATCCCTCTCATGTCAAATACACAATGAATAATAATAAACTGTAATTTAAAATTACTAAAATGTACATCCTACGTGGTAAATTTGCACTAATGTAATAACTTAAGAATTAATTCATATTTTAAGATACGTATTAAGTA